GCAGATAAGGGCCTATCAAGGACTATGCTTTTATCTTCTGAGTTTCTCTTTTTCTTTCTTTGGAAAACAAATGAACAAAGAAACAAGACTTTAAAACAAATTCAAACACAACGTGCCCCATAATGCAATGTGCTCTGTCAGCATACAGTAATTTTATGGCAGTTTTAAATCTCTCTAATACATCCCAGGTTCCGTTGCTTGTTTTTCTCCAGACATTGAGCTATGTACAGGACTTTTAGGTCCTGCTGTGCTCAGGATGAGTTGGATGAGTCCCTCCCCAGTGTTGTTATGATCTTTCATCCCTATGAGATTGTTTTAGAGCGTGGGAATTGCCCACCGTCTGGAGGAGAGTCGGAAGGAGGCACATGGGCACCGAGGAGTCAAAGCCTTTAAGATGTAGGAATTCCATTGAGTTGGCTGGAGGAAAAAACATGGATTCTTAAAGCAAAGCTGAAAAGAAAGATCACAAACAATTCTCTCTCCCCCCCCTTCTTTCATGGCCAAAAAGGAAGACTTTAATCCGCTTTAAGAGGGGTGAGAGAAACATAAACTGGATAATGGGACAATGAGCGTTTACTTTCGCTGTGCTTCTCTGTGTGTGCTCCATGGCCAGGGCATCATGTGATCATGCAAACTTTCTAGGACTACAAAACCCATCAAACCTAGACAGCCTAGCCAATGGTGAGGGATGTTGGGAGTTGTAGACCGACAACTTCTGGAGGGCTGCAATGCACCCATCTCTTCAGCTGAGCCACAGTAGTCGTTAAACAGATTAACCAATTTAAAATAATTTGATCTGTTAAGAAGCTGTGTGCAATTGGGTAGCGTGTCTGTCCCCAACCCAACTTATTTCCTTTTTTAAAAAAGACATTGCTTGGTAAGAAGGCATATAAAAACAGGTTTCACCTGCTTCAAGTATTCTTCTTTATCTGTCCTGTTTTATTTATACTCCAAAGCATGTTACACATTTAATTGATTTATAAATGTTCCATTCTCTGTGCTTCCTTCCAATATTTCCAAACAATATTAGCCAAGAATGATGGATAGAGTAGAATTTCCCTATCCTTTAGAAGAAGAAGAAATGAGATGGTTTATAACCATGAATGTCCCTGAATTCTTCCCTGCAATTTATCTTAGTCTTTCTGAAATTGATATCCTGTAGCTCACACCAGCTGTTAAAGCTGTGTTTACAGCTGGGAAGCTGAGGTTTATGATAAGAATTGTGGGAATCATGGAGAGATTAAAAAAATAAATAAGTCCAGATTCTTACAGGTAAGTGAAGCTGTCATGCTCACATGCTGCATCCCAGAATCTAGTCCTCTATTTCAGTGGTTCTCAACATTTGGCCATCTACACGTTTTGTGCTTCCCTTCTCCAAATCCCTGAGTGTTTGTCATTCCACCCAGGGCTTTTGGGAACAGACACCCAAAACATCTGGAGGACCAGAGGCCGAGAAGCACAGATCTATCTCAATCCTCTGCTTGACAGACCGAACTTTGCAAGATCTGGTTTAAAGATAACAAATGCTAAGGAGGGATCAAAAATGGAGCACCTTTTGTTGAAAGCCCCCCTTTCTCGACAGGTAGTCAACTTTCAAATAGAAAAGCTATTTGCCTTTCGACAGAAGTGGAGACGTGACGGTTCAAACCTAGCCTTTCTTGAAAGGGAGCTCCAGAGCCTGGGAGCAACCACTAAGAAGGCACTGAGTCAATGCTGAGGTGGTGTTCCTGAGATCACACTGTTGGCTCCTCAGAATGAGGACAAGAAATGAATAGCCATTATTTTGAGAAGCACCTCTTGACTTTTCCCAGGGCTGGTTTTCCCACAGCAACCAACTCCCCTAGCCTGCCAAAAACAGGCTACCTTTTTGAGCACCCAATAACCTGTGACATGTTAAAGGAGGATGATTCCTAAGGCACTTCTTCCATCCTCATGTAATCTTTTTGAAGGTGGGTGTGTCGGTTCTGGACAGCCTTAATTTGTTTCTGGGATCAAATGACCTTTCTTCACAATGGCGTACAACCCACTTGGATGCGTGCACAACTCTCTGCAAAACTCCTTTGTTTGAAGGATGTTTCCAGTGGGAATTTAGCCTTTCTTACCCCGAGCAGGAACTGACATTGTCTAACAAGGTAGGTAATCCATTTGGCAGATGCCGGAGTTCACAAAGAAAGAAAGCATCCCAGAACTTGGAAAAGTTGCCTTTTTTAAGATGATGAATGGGGTTCTCTGGTTCCAAGATTCTGTGCTCTGGAGTGGGGTAGCTACCTCTGCCTCTGACCTCTTTTCATGTTGTTCAAGTTGTTGATGGGGAGAATATGGTCTGCTCCCTCCTGTTCCAGAACTCTTTCTGGAGCTATTTCAACCTTGCCCTGCCCCAGAATTAGAGTATTGCCTGCGATCAGATGCTTTTGGGCCCCTCCATTCCCCAGAACTGCCTAAATGGGCCACCTTTGATTGGCGGAAAGAGGGGCGAGACCGCAAGGTCCCCTTTTCACTCTGCTTAGGGCTGTTTTTGCCACACCACTCTCCCCCCAGAAATGTGTCTCGTTAGCAGATGCAGGAGACAGACAAGGAGCACAGACTGCTTATGAAACAAGCTGCAAGATGGCATCACTTATCCCAGAGGGACCGCTACAGTTCTAACATTTAGTCATTACATAACACTTTGGAAAAAGTTGGTAACTATATCGGTTTATTTGCTTCCTCTCCCACTTTTCCTTCGGATCTCTGGTTCTTCAGTTTTAGTTCACAGAAAACCAACAAAATAGTACCACATTCCTTGGAGGGTTATGAGCGCACTTAACAGAAGCAGTAGCAACCTTATGAACTCTTTTCAATTAATAATGTGCTTCCATGGAAGCCCTGTGGCATCACAGGAATCAGCCTTACATTGCTTTGTTAGTCTACTTCTAATATTGTCTGTGACTGGGCCATGTGGTGCTCTCTGTACATTTTGAATTAAAACTCATAATCCCTGACTAGTGTGCTTTAATGCTAGAGTGCATGCATGCTGTAACACTATATAGCGCTGGTGCACTCTAGCGCTCAAACTCTATACAAATTGACACACACCCCCCCCCCGGTGAGTAATGCAGAAACTCTCATTCTCACTGCTGGGGAAAATAATGTTCCCTGCCCTTGTTACCTTAATCTGGAAAGTATTAGGGGGTTCTCATCACTGAACGGAAGGTTTGTTATGTTGTTAAAGTGTTACATTTGAGGCCCCATTTTGCCTGTCAAATTTGCTGCTCATGCCATTTCCTAGCTTAATGATACGAGGCTGTTTGTGTTTAAATGTTTGTCTTTGCACGTGAAATTTATGCTGGTCCCACATATGCCTAGTTGACCCTTCCTGCAACATGTTTTTCTTTAGAGAAGTGAAATGTGCGGGATTTCCTTCCTTCCAGAGAGAGAGAGAGAGAGAGAGAGAGAGATGCAGGATTGGCATATGGAAGGTTTCCTTTTGCTATAGCGCCCTCTGCTGCCCAAGTATGGCATGTAAATCGTCCATCAACACCCTGCCAGCTATGTCCCATCATTTTGATGCAACCAAAATGGCAAGCAGTTTTTCAATTTGTCGCCTCCCAAGAGCTGCAAATGGCTTATTTCCCAACGAAAACGCAATGGTCTTGTGCTGCGTTTTGTTGCACCAACCACTTCAAAAGGGAACACCCAGATTTGTGATGTATCAGGTGCTTTCTCATGGGTCTCTATGTGAACCCATAGATTCAAAACCAAACTAAGGTATAATATGCAGGGAAATGGGGCGTGCTTTAAAATGAATTAGAAGTTCCTTTTATCTGTATAGTACTAAAATGTTCTGAGGAACACTGTGGCATGGAGTGAGGATAGTTTCAAAAAAACCTAGATTACTGCAAAAAGTACAGGCAGAGACCATTCAGTAGCTTGGCTCAGCTTGGGCAACCGTAAGAGATCCCTTGTTTATGGTGCTACAAGATAAGGATGGCTGAAATCCTGTTGCTTAGTATAGTAAACCACACTAGAGCAGGCCCATTGAATCAATGGGGATTGGATAAGCCCAGTCCTCCATAAATCCCACAGATTTTAATGGATCTACTCTCGTTACGACTTAATATGCTAAAATAAGACACAATTAGAGTAGGCCCATTAGAATCCAGGGGACTTATGGAGGAGCTGATTCACCCAATCCCCACTGATTCAGTAGGCCTACTCTAGTACAACTTACTATGCTAGACAACAAGATTTCATCCTGTGTGTTTTAAAACACTACAGTAACGTATGTATGTGTACATACGTGTGTGCAATTAATTGGTGCAGTTCTACTCCACGCAGCCAAATTGAGGTTCCTGACCAAGAATCAACAGGGAGATTAGTATGAGTTTATTGGATGCTTTTGCTGCCTAGTTCATCCTAGCAACCTCAGGGAAGACAGACGAAGACCAAAATGCTATGATGCACAAGAGTTAACGTTTAATCCAAAACTCAGGCGGTATTCTAGAAACAGGAACGCGCGATGTGGAGCCTCTTCACTTAGAGCCGCAAGGCTGGAAGTCCATCTGTTTTTCATCCAGCTGCAAGACAAGGAAATAAGAAGGGTCTCTGTTGACTTAAAATTTCAGTGCGCCTTCATAGGTCATAATCAGGAATCACAGGACACAGAAGGAGAAGTCCTCAGTACTCTCTCCAGCCTTCAGGTTTGATCCTTGGCTTTGCCTCCTGGTTCCAATCTTTGGCATCGACTCCTCATTGAGGCCTCCATTTGTGACTCCTGGGTTCGGACCTCAGCTTTTGGTTCTGACTTTGGACTCTGATTCCTGGCTCTCGCTGTCATTTCTGACACACACACACACAAACACACACACCAGTACAGCCTCTGGATCCAAGCTCCCTTCTGAGCCCTCCACAGAGTTGCAGCTCTGATTTCCATCATGATTCAGCATTACAACTGTCACAACCGCACAACTGAGATTTGGAGCAGGCCCCTGGTGTATGCTTTAGGAGTTCCTCAAATGGCAATGACCTTCACCTCTGTGGTCTTCAACTCTGTCGTCATCCTTGTTGTGACATGTTCCAAAGACCTACACAAACCCATCTGCATTCTCTTCTGCAACTTAGCTGTCTCTGACTTTCTCACCAGCTCTTCAGGCTTCTGGATTGCCACCATGTTTATCATGAACCCCGAAAGCACTATGGTTGGGACCAAGGACCTCCTCAAAGCATACACTTTCTACATCATCTCCATCTTGGCCACCATCTACAACCTAGTGGCCATTGGGATTGAGCGCTACCTGGCTGTGACTGAAAGCCTGTGGACAAGGCACCGGATCACCAGAAACCAGATCTTAGGAGTTGTCTTTGTCATTTGGGTGTTCGCCTTCTTCCTAGGATTCATGCCTCTGATGGGGTGGAATTGCCTGGAGCAGGAGAACATCTCTGCTCTTTACGGGCCCCTATGCATTGACTATCTTCTCTTCATTGCCATTCCTCATAGTGCAATGGCTTTGATCCTTCCATTTTTCACCTACATCAGCATCATTGGCTTTTTGAGAAAGCAGAATAAGTCAATGGGAGCGCTGGGCCAACACCATACCACCTACCGTCTGGCTGAGATCCAGGTTGTGAGGACCAGCGTGCTAATCTGGGTCCTGACTTTGCTTTCTTACACACCCTTCTTTGTAGGTGCCGTGTTCGATTCTGCTACTCAGCGCTGCCTCAGAGATCTCTTCCCAGGCATCTACATCTTCCGAAACTTGACAGCTATGATGATAACCATTAATTCATTGGGAAACCCCATCATATATACTTTCAATGTGAAGAGGCTGGGTCACAGGATCAAGCCTCTGAGGTGCCCTTCCAACAATCGGATTGAAGTCCAAGCTATAGGGAAAATGTGAGTGTGCCCCAAACCAGAAGAACTGAAAGTCTGGGGGTTTCCATCCAAGCAACTTGAAATACCCACATTGGTGCATGAAGATGGGCGCAATCCTGTACATGTCTACTCAGAATCAGTGCTATGTTTATTGGGACTTTATCCCAGGTAGGCATGTCTAGGATTGCAGCTTGAAATCTCTATACGGGGAAAAAAGAGTAGTTCACCTCAAAATCTGATGAACTTCAGCACCAAACTGGCTGGACAGCTCCCAAGGGAAAGAAAGATGGTAATAAAGGATTCCCTGTTCACATCTAGATCATACTTGGAAGATGTACATTTACTTAGATTCATGAAAAGAATTACTCGTGGTAAAAATATAAAGATCTTAATGAGGACTAATTTCAGAGTGAGTTATCAGCAAGAAGCTCCAGCCATGTAATGTCTGCCAAAGGACCTTCACCAGAATCTTGCTGGGGATTTGCGCTAGCTTTAAGTATAATTTCATAAATTGTGGCAACAAATTTCCACTGATTTATCAGTTGCCCCTTGTGTTCCTCATTTTGTGCCAGTTATGTGACTTGTTTTTTGATGAGAAATGCAAGCAACAATTCAAGTCACAACTTTATGTAATTACACTTGTTCCAGTATAAAGCCTCAACATGATTCTGGCTGTTAATACATTTTTTACCTCCCCTTCTTATTAGAATCAAAGCATTATATTGGTCTGAGAAAGAATTGTTGTTGTTATGGTTGTTGTTCATTATTAATCAAAGGGTTTTCTCATTTCTTCTGGGTTGATTGCACATCTGTTTATTTGATTGCAGTGTATATTCAATTCATTACATTAATGTTTGTCAGCTTGTATATGACCAGCTTATCTCATGAAACAGGAAAAATGAGGTTTACATAGTGAAAAGATTTTCTTTTTTAAAAATGGGGAAAAAAACAGAAATCTGGTCTGTTTTCTTAAAAACCAAAGTAGAAATGTAGTATGTATATTTGTCGAGCGATGCAGTAAGCCACAAATTGTGTGCACCTTTATTGCAATCATGCATCATGAGCAGAAGTAGAGAAGTTTTGTTTTTTTTGTTTTTTGAAAATTACAAATCCCACAATTTAGACTACATTGCAGTGGCATTGTTAGCTGTGGGCTTCTATAGACCAGAAAAACAGTATTTCTCATTTCTGATCATGAGAGGCTGTGTGGTATAATGGTTTAAGTCTTGGATGAGGCTTTAAGAAATCTGTCAGTGAGGGAGACCAAGCTTCCCAGAAGACTCCCAGCTATCTCCCCAGCATCTCCTGGTAAGGTTCTCCAGCCTGAAATCCAGGAGGGACAATATCTGTTGGTATGGAAGCCGAGCTGCCCATGAACACAGACAACATCTGGCTCTTCTGAGGAAACACCAGCTGTGCTTCCAAGGAGTCCTGCAGTCCAAACACACTTGGAGGACCACAGGTTGACCCCACTCTTGCTGGGCACTGTTGCTTCATTTGTGATGCCTGGGTCCTTTGAACTCTTCCACCAAAATGAAATGAAATGGTAATTTCCCCAACCAGAGAAGCTGCGGTCTTCCACTGGAAGCCTTATGCGCCACAGTTTACTATTTAGATCGACCCACCTTCCTTCTGTACACCGTTCTGAGCTCCCATGGGTTCAATATGACAGAAAGATGCTTGATGCAGGCTTTAACTCTTGTGGAGGGAGAAGGAATAAGGGACAAAGCACATGATTGCATGCATGCTCGCCAACTTAGATGGTCTTCCACTGGAAGCCTTATGCGCTACAGTTTACCATTTAGATCGACCCACCTTCCCTCCGTACACCGTTCTGAGCTCGGCATCCCATGGGTTCGACATGACAGAAAGATGCTTGATGCAGTCTTTAACTCTTGTGGAGGGAGAAGGAATACGGGACAAAGGGCATGATTGCATGCATGCTCGCCAACTTAGAACTAAAACCCATTGACTTAAATGGAGTATAGGATCACAACCTTTATTGGGCCTTGTTGGCAAATCCAACAGATCATCCCATTTTCGTAAATGGGCTTATGTGTAAGACAGAAGTATGTCTCTTATTTAATTCAGTGTGGGCTGGAGTGACAGTTTACAGCAAGGATGTGGTGTTGGACTACAACCCCCAGCACCCCCTGTATACACTAGCTAGGGTCGCTGGGAGTTGTGGTCCAATTGCTTGACTAGGACTTGAGAGATCCAGGTTCAAGTTGCACTGAGCTGTGAGGTGTCCAGTCTCTCTCCCTCCCTCTCTCCTTTTCCCTCTCTATTCCTCAAGCTGACCTACCTTATAGGAGTGTTGTGAAATTAAAGTGGGGGACTGGGAAAGAGGAGAGGCCTGGCCCGTTACACTGCCTTGAGCTCATTTGATGCCGGTCAGAGTAGACGTGTGAACAGTTATAGTCAATAAAAGTCAACATTTTGGCACGCGGTAGTTATTAAATGATTTATTATGCATTCATAACCTGATTTCTTTTCATTAATGGAAACTTCTCAGTTTAATGAAAAATTGGTTTGAGAGACTATGATTGGGGGGGAAATAAAAGTAACATCCAGTTGTTGTGAGGTGCACAGTGTGATGTTTTGACAGCATGCGGCGTGGCTTAGAGTTAAACTGTTAATCTATATCCACCTCAGAATCCTGAGTCAATATAAGGAGTAAAACAGGGAAATCTTTCTACATCTCCTCAGGAGTCAGACTTGGCCCCACTGGATATGACTGCAGCGTTACAGGGTTGTTGTTTTTTTTTAATTAAAGCAAACATGTTTTTATCTCCTCATCTTTATTACATCATTTTTGCTGACGGGGGTCGGGTGGGGTGGAAATGCTTTGTTTGGCTTGGGGCTGTAGAGTTAATAAACTGCACTTCCTTCTTTCAGTATCATCAACCTTTATTGCAGAAAGGCTAAACCGGGCGTAACTAATTAGATTTGCTGGCGCATCCGTGCAGCCGGCGAGGAGTAACGTCAAGATGCGCTTGGCGCACAACGCGCGTTAACAACGGGGCTGGAACTTAATCTTGTGCGGGCGGACTCCTGGGAGGTTTAGCTATTCCCACGTCCACCTCTTTGGCTTTCCCGGCTGGCCTCGCCCTCTTCCAGCGCTTGCCGGATTTAGCGTTTTTACCTTTTCTTGTCTTTTAAACCGGTTTGTTTTTAGTTCTTCCGAGTTCGGTTTGTGGGCTGGGTTTCCATTGTGCTCTTTTACGTTTAACCTCCAGAAGGGAAACCAGCCAGAGCAGGGAGTGCCAATGCCACCAGATGGTGCGGCTGAGAAATAAAACAAAATATCTGTCTTTCTTTATGAGCTGGTCCCGCAAACCAATGCGATCTGGGTTCCAATCGGGAGGCTTAGAGCTTGGTTGCCTTTCTTTCTGAGCTGGTTTCGCAAACCAATGCGATCCGGGTTCCAATCGGGAGGCTAAGAGCTTGGGCACAAAGCTGGAGACGGGGAGAGGAGATCGACTCGCTCGGATGAGCGGCTGATTCGGCCTGGAGCCGAAGCCCCGCCCAGGAGAGGGGGCGAAGCCGGAAGCGAGCGAGGGCCCGACCCACGTGGATCCCTTTCCCCGCTCCCGGGCTGAACCATGGAGAGGCCGGCGGGCGGGTGCTGCTGCGTCGTTTGCGGGAAGGGTGGCCGGAGCGTCGCTAAATACCGCTGCCCGGCTTGCCGGGAGAGATAGTGAGTCTCAGGCATCAAAGCCCATGATGGGGCTTGGACTACAGCTTCCATCATCCTGTCTCGCCCAGGGGATGATAGGCGTTGCAGTACAGGGGGCATAGCCCCACTTGGGTTGGGAAGGCGGCGTGGGTGGGTTGACATGTGCTTGTCCTGAGTCTGTGTATGTTTATTTTTTGGGGTGGGTGGGTGTCTGCAGGTAAAGATGGGCTGCGTATGGGTAGGAGGAAGAAACGCTTTGTGCGTGCTCAGAGGGGGCAGCCCTACAGTGGGAGAGCTGTGGGTTTGCAAAAGAGTGCCTTCCCATGCATTTCTTCTTTTTTAAATCTTGGATTAACCTTAAAAGTGCGTTAGGCAATGCGCGGCAAACCTCCCGATGCTCTTGGACGCCCTCTCCCATCAGTCTTCAGCAGTGGGGGACCGTGGGAGTTGGAGTCCAACATCTGGAGAGCCCTGCCTGCCAAACCTTGTCCTCCCTCCCCTTTATCATGAAGTCAGAACCCTAATAAAATCATTTGCAGTCACAGTCAACCTGTATAAGGACAAAACCTGGAATGGGAGGGGGCAGCAAGGGGAGAGCACCAACATCTCACATATCATAAAAGAACCAAGGGGAAAAAAGCAAATAAATGGTGAAAAAGTAACATTTTTCAGGTTGGGCGTTCATGCTAGCTTTCTAGAAGGAAGAACGTACAGTATAATCATGTCATGTTCGGTTCTGTGGGAGACCCTAATCAACTTCTGTAACCATCTCCCAGACGCACTCTCGCCCCTTCGCCTTTTACTTGCGTCTCCAATCCACTTAATCTTTTTTTGTTTGTTTCAGCTGCTCGGTGTCTTGCTGCAAGAAGCACAAAGGTGGGTTCAGATCCCCTTGCCCTGTTTTGCGCCACCCCCACCCTGCTGGAGTCCTGCTACTGCAGATCTCTGGGTGGTGATTCTGAACAGACAGACGGACAGGATGGCAGGCCTAGCGGTCAGGAACCTGCCCACTCATCCTACGGGGCAGCGTTAGGGTGTCTAGCTGGGCTGGGCAGATGGGGTCCGCTTTGTCCAAGGACTGCAACCAGAAGCCCTCGTGACTAGAGAAAGGACTAAAGTGCTCTGTTTGGCAGTAGTTAGGATGACCGTCCTGTGCTCCTTGAGTGTTTTTGTTGTTTATCCAGAGGTACTGTGGTCAAAGGAAACACCCCTGCCACCCCTGACGAATGCCTCTTCCTCCTCCTCAAACCACCATGGTTTCCGCCATTTCCCCCTTGCCCCTCAAATGCTGGGCAGAAATGTTGAAAATCCATATTTTCAGTTGGCTCCTATTCTGTCAATCCCACCAGGTCTGATTGAGGAGGGCCTTGTTTAGGTCTGGCCAAGGTGTAGAGGAGGACCATTTTTGTTCCACTACAGATCGCATCATTTCAGTTTTTCTGTGCAGCTTGATGGGTTGGGAATCAAAGGATGTCTGGAGAACACCCACTTCCCTGCTTAATTCTGAAGCAGGAGTAAAAGTAGAGGTTCTGTGGTTGACCTCACAGGCTCTAATTTACATCAGCTCCACGTGCAGGAGTGGGCAACGTGAGCCCCCCCCCAGATGTTGGGGGGCTGGAGCTGGTGGGTCTTGTTGTCAAACACCAGCCAACCTGTCTGAATAGGTATACTTACTCTTTATTGAGTTGTTAATGAAAAATCCACTTTCCCTCCCATGAGCACAAGATACAGCCACCCTGTGAGAGAGGGGGAGTGGTTGCCCCCACAAGGTCACCCAGTGAGTTTTACAAGGACTTGCATTTAGATCTCTGGAGTCCCAACCAATCCCTGAGAGTCTGACCACAATGCCACACCGTTAGTCAGTTCCACGTAAACAAATCAAGCCTGAGCCTGCAGGAGAGACTTTGTGGACAAATTTGCCGAACCACCACAAAGGGGGCCCAAGCTAGCCTTTATTTTTCACTTTTAACGTCCCTGTTTGGAGTTAATGAGATGTGCTTGGTGTCTGAACAGATCATTGCAGGTCCAAAGCAGATTTTCATCCACAACCTGCAAACACAGATGCTCCCCAAAGTACCTGGAGAGAGAAATCGTTGGACGCTGAAGGTATTTACCACTTCTCTAGCCTGCTTGTTAAAGGAGAGTGCGAGTATGTAGGTTTGTACTAGTGGCAGACAATTATTTGAGTTTTTCATTGATCTTAAGGTAGTCTACAACACCTTGTTTTCTTCTCAGGCAAAAACTGAGGTGGTTCAGGCTGAGAGAGAGTGACTGGGTGGCCTGAGGCACCCAGTGTTACATGGCTGAATGGGGATTCGAATCCAGGTCCCAAGATTTCTGGTGAAATAAGTTAGCCACACTGACTGTCATGATTATTGCCCTGTTGGATTGGAGCTCGAGTCTTATCTGTTTCAATATTCTGTTGCCACAGTAGCCAGCCAGATGCTGAAATGAAATGAGAAGTCCACCAGCAACATGGGTAGGGGAGTGGCCCTTTCCTGCTTTTGTTTTCCAGAGCACGGAGCCAGATAACCATGCTGCCAAAAGCAGTGACCAGCCGTCTATGATTTTGTTTCATTCTTGTTAAGGTTGCCACTTAACTCTGTCCCGGCTTTTCCTTAGGAAGCCCTTGGTCTGTGGATGATATCTTGACGGAAGAGGATGATGGCGATAAGGTGCCTCTCCAGAAACTTCAGCTCTTGGGTGAGCTTTCTGGTTTGAAAACGTGGTGGCTTTTATTTCTCCAAACACAAGTTTCCCCTTTTCAGATGCTCACCCATGAAGAGTTTTTTTTTCTTGTGACCATGCTGCTGGCTCCCTTCATAACTGGAGGCTCACCCCCCCCCCCCGGCTCCTTTCCACACAAGCCAGAGCCCCGCTTTTCTGGGATCCTTGATTCATAAGGAGAGAGTACCCGGATGCCATGAGGTCACCCCTTCTTCAGGCTAGCGTTTAATGACGACAGGGCCAGCGATACACGCCTTGGCCCACCTGGCTCAGACGCTCTGACAGCATGACCGAAGAGGGCTTAGCTCCTGTCCGTGTACCTCAAAAAGCGTCTCTCTCTCTCCTTGTCTCTTCTAACCCTTTCTTTCTTCCCTTTTTTGAAACAAAACCAGAGGAATCAGAAGAACTCAGAGGTATTCTAGGCAACCCCCACCTCCGGCAGCTTCTTCTCAGCGTGGACCAAGCCGAAGACAAGAACGCCCTCCTGAAGACGTGCATGCAGGAGCCCCTCTTTGTCGAGTTTGCCGACTGCTGCCTGCGGACCGTTGAGCCCCCAGAAGGGGAAGGGGAGGAGCTCCCTGGCTGATATTGGGGGAAGAGCCGGTGGGGGCGAGGGGGGTTGCGGTGGGCAGTAGACAGAATTCTCAGGCTGCCCTTTCGGGGGCGGGGCCTGCCCCTCCAAACGGCCACCACCCTGGTTTTGTGGAAAGGGAACGTCTCTTTCTGTGTGTGTTCCGATGCTCCAACCTCTTGTGTTTGAGCCCATGTCAGATATTTTCAAAGGGCATCCTTTGTGGGGGAAAAAAGATCCAGCTTGTGCCAGGGAATCCTCCAGGTACTCTGGGGCAACACCCCTTGTCAGCTCTCACCAGGCCGTACCCTTTCCCTCCAGCGCTTGCTATAAAAGAAGAGGAACCTTTAGAAATTGGGGGAAATTGCCTGTTGAGTTACAGCTTCCAGATTTCCAACGTGGGCGACTGGAAGACCAAGAGTCGCAGTTTTCTTTTGTCCCAAACCTCCCTTCTTTTAGCGCTTGCTCCCAAGTTTGTTGATTCCTCTTTGTTTGAATTTGGGTGGGAGGGACTCCAGTTTCCAGGTCCTTCTGTTTTGTGCAGTCGGGTTGGGGGAAATCACAAGGGAGAGACCATGGATCGGAGCTGACTCCCTGCCAAGGTACGGCCTGTCTGTTCTTGGGAGGACTGAGATGCAATGAACTGGGCTTCCCGGCCAGTAATGGAGACAGTGGTGGAAGCGGAATTGAAACAAAACGACGGCTAAGCCTGTAGTAAAATCGTCAAGGTTTATTAAGTCCTGATCTGTAGAAAATTGTTCAGGTCTTTTGAAACCAATCCACAAATTACAAGGAGCCCCAGGATTAAAAGAATAAAAGACCTTTTACACCACAGGACAAGCAAAAGTATTGGACGGTGAATCTTTGGTACTCTTCCACTCGTTTGGTTTTTGGAACACAGAATGAGAAGTTTGGGGGGGAACAGCTGCACATCAGCCTGAGGAATTCTTAAAAGTTATTTTTGGTTGTATCAAGAACAACCTAGTTGTTTAGTAGAGGCAGTTGAAGAATGCTGTTAAGAATCTTCATGATATTAAAAAGGCGACTTTCATTATAAATCCAAAACCGTGGTATGAATTTCCTTGCCTTTTTTTTTTAAACAGATGATGCCACCCTACCCCCATCCACCACCAAAGGAAAATAGCTCTGCGTCCTCTTTGTAGGTAGCGTCACTGTAAAGGCATGTTTTAAAAACATGTGAACTCTCTAAATGTGAATGGATGAGCTTGGATCTTGATTACACAGTTGGTTTCCCAAAGTCTGAGGCTGCCTGCACAGTTCTAGAGAAAAATGGGCATTAAAACAGAGAAGAGAAGGAGGTGGCTTGGCTGGCAGAGTTGAAAGTGCAATAAATAAGACATAGAGTGCCCAGGTCCACGTTCAAGCAGCGAGCAGCTCACACTGGTCCAGGAGAATCTGGTTGAAGCCGGTGACGGTGCTGCCGTGAATGTGTGGCCTGGTGTCAGCATAAAGCAGCGGGGACTTCTTGCAGTGGAATTTGATGGAGCCCTGGGGAAGAAAAGCAAACTTGTGTTAGGGTCTAGGCAAAGGCCAGGCATTCGGCCTCTGAACTTGTTCGGTTATTAGCACCCCAGGTCCGTCACGCGGACGCTGCCACAGTATGGGGTTTTCTTTATCTACGTGTCCTGCTTTGTTGCATGGCTGGGAAGTAACCAGACTTAATTTGCAACTCGGTTGATTGTGCCAAGCCTCGGAGGGAGACTTGCCAAAGACACACATTCCTCTTGATGTTGAGGTTAGCGCTTGTCAAGACAAGCCATTGAAACAAGATGGGTGCAAAAGGGAGGGCAATACTTTGCTGTATAAACCACGTGGGATGAAAGGTATGAAGGGTGGTTTTTCTAGCTGTCAGGGGAGGGGCCCTGGTCCTTTGGGGACTCTTGTGGCCCTTACCTGAGGGATGGCTCTGATGGAGATGACGCCGGGCACCGTGGGCTTGGTCTCTGCCTTGCACCAATCCTTCTTCTGCAGGACGCGGAGGCACATCAGGAGTGCGGCCTCTCTCTGGAGCCCCCCTCCCGTCACGGGGGCACTTGAGAGGACAAGCCCGAGGGGCCAGAACTGGATTATGGCACCTGACGGCCACGGCTTTTCCCATTCGCGCCGAGTCTGGCTTGAGGAAACAGCTGCTCCAGAGGAAGCAAGGAGGGCTTTTCCATCGGTGTCGTCCAGTTCCTCTGCAGCCAGCATGTTCATCTTGGCCTGTGGGAGGCGAAAAAGGATTCCAGACGTGAATAAGGAAACAGGAAGAGTTGAGGGGTAGGTGTGCTCTGAATTAATCACGAATGGTATGCTGAGGACCTGGGATAACTGGCAGGTAAAAGGTGGTTTTCAGGTTACCTCCGGGTCTGATAACATCAGCCATAGCTTAGAGCAACCATGAGGGCCGGAAAAGTTTCTAGTCCTTTATTTTTCCTGTGGGGAAAATGTTCTAAAATACACTGTTTTCCTAATCACAATGCATATTGTTCCAAAATTGTAGCCATGTTTTTGATGAAACCCTCAGCACGCTGCACTTTCAGTAGACTACTAGTCGGTTAACCATTTTAATGCACCTCATGCTTTGTAAAATGTAACATGGAGGGAGCTAAGCGATTAGGTTGCACGGCTCAAATATTCACAAGGTTTTCAACAGAAATGATTTCCACTTCAAAGTTTGGTTTTATTTAACCAAGACATTGGGCAAAGCCATCCTGTAGTGGGAGTATGCTAAACCACATTAACTGGGCCTTACTGGTTTCATTTTTTAAGCAATTCAAATGCCTTTGAAATGCTTAAGCATCCTATTAATTTTTGATTTTCTAAAATTCTGCATATAGATCTAAATACAAGTCGACCTGACATATTATTAAAATGGGCTCTGTCTAAATCTATTTCATGGTTAAGAAATTTGAAAACAAACACCGTCAGCTGACATAAATCCTTGTTGGTTAGGAAAATCCCAGTCTTGCTTCGGTGCTCCTGTATGCCCACCTCCGGTTTCATTCTAATCTACGGAATTAGAAAACATTTCTAGAAAACTCCAGGATGCTTCCTCGTATAGAATTTGCTTAAAACCCCACTGCTGCTATTAAAGCATGGGAGTGCGGCAACCCCAACTGCAGGGGGTCCAATACAGATGGTCGCTTCATGTCACTGCTTCTGCTCTTGCGGCTGTTTACAGAAGTTACTTCTGCTTTGATTCGCTGGGGGTGGGTGAAGACGTGACACCTCCTAGCACCCCTCCTGTGGAGTTCCCTCGAGGCATTTTGGACTCCAGCCTCCCTCGGTTTAGCCAGCATGAGAGGGGTCGGCCAACGTCTGTTTTCCTGCTTAAAAGCTGCCACTCAGGAAGGGGCTTTATCCTTCTCATCCCCCTGGCCACGTGTGGCTCGCTTACCTTCCATGTCTTCCAGGCCCGTTTAATAACGGTAGCGGCCCTTTGTAGTCTCCGGAAGCGATTCCTGGCTAGCCACGAGCGGATGGCTGAGGAAGGTGGTAGGAATGAAGGAGAAAAATGGGGTCAAGGAAATCTGCTGGGGTCTGCCCGAGCCTCTGGAACTCCCCCTTCCTTCTCACCTGGCTCCCCTTTTCCTTCTCACCTGACTGGATGATCGTGGCCGAACGGCTCTCTTTCGCCAGCTTCTGACGCTTAAATCTCCGCCAGCAACACTGGATACAGAACGCTTTCTCGGACAAGAAGCCGGCCCTCCGCGCCTCGAGTAGCTCCAGCTGCAAATTTAAAAAAAAATAGTAACAATTTGAAACCTCTCTTCGCAGCCGTGAAGGCTCTGAATCTGCTTCTCAAAGATTCCCAGAATGTGAATCTCTGAGAACAGAACGGCACAGAGTCACATTTTGGGCGAGACCCATTCTGGCCCAATTCCTGAACCACCAGCTTCTTTTCTCATCACGAGCATTGCTTACCATGGAATTTGTCAGAAATACTTTGGTTTTGCCACAGTAAACCGGTGCAGTAACACAGGACTTGTCCTCGGCAGGTTTAAGGGTTGCAGCGCTGGGGCCAATGCCCCGCAAGACTTCCTGGATGGTATGGCGTAGAGGTCGGCCTTCCTCTTCTGCAGGAGGAGTCATACACCCCCACACCCGAGGAGATAAGAAAGGGGAAAAAATGCCAATTATAATAGTGTGCCAGAAAAAGGTAACACATCCTTGGGAAAGTTAAGACCACAACACTCTTTCACATGCACACAAGCAGTATAATCAGTATTCACACTGACTTCTCAAGACCGGAAAAAGGAACTTTTCCACGCTGCTCTGAGAAATGAAACCCCTGCTGGTTATCACCTGAAAGCCAGACAGCGCAGAAAGAAGGAAAAGCCTGGCCCTGAAATGTTGCTCTTGGCCCATACAGTGAGGTTTAAATCCGCCAAATGGGAGCGTTTTAGTTCTAGCTTTAAAAACTCTTATCGCGTTAATCCTGACCAGGGAAGAGGGCTGTTGTCTCACTTCATTCAGAAGGCCCAGACCGAAGCTTACCTTTTGCCAGCTGGTCTGGTTCTATAAGAGCAAAGAGAAAGAAGGGAAGCCGGTTGCTTGGAAGAGAGCTTTCTGTAGAGGAAAGCAGGTTTGGCAAGAGGAGAAGAATCCGGGGAGAGCTAGAGAGACCAAAAAGCACGAACGTGAACAGAGAACACTCCAAGAAAAGTAACAACACTTCTCTCCAGAGACAGCATCTCTGAGGTTTTGTGGGGGTTTTTTTAAATGCAACGGTGACAGTCCTCCCGACCTTCCAGTTTTGACACTGGCACATAACAGTTCTTTTTTAAAGTGAAAAATGGGAATTAGGTTGTTAGGGGTGTGTGGCTGCTGCAGTGAGAGCCCAGGTGGGGGGCATAGATGTCCTGCAGGCTGCACTTCGCTCACTCCTGCTTAACCTAAAAGTGAGAGACTGTCAGAAATCTCATCTTTCAATACAACTTTCTCTGCTTTTTCATAGGATCACAGGCACAGCAGACAGTATGAAAGTGAAAAGAGAAAAATGAAAAAGAAAAGTATGGCAGCGCCAACTTGGAACGTCCTGTTAATTTCAGACATATTCCATGCTACAATGGAAAAACTTTTAAGTTTCAGAACATACCATTTCCCAAAACTTGGGGAAAGCCATTTTCTTGATGTCTCGTGGCTTCTGAGCTCCACCTTTGTGATTTTTTAAGCATGCCATAACGTTCCAGAAAGCTTCCAAAGGAAATCCTGCCCGAAGTGGAGAAGGAAGAGATATCAGCCTAAGAGAGTAATAAAGACGTAAAGGCTATGAAGGAAAGCACAAGGGCAAAATTGTAACAACTATGTTTGCACAACCCACGGCTTGTGATGCATGAACTTGCCACTGCTAATGAGACACTTTGTTAACCAGCCACAAACCACAACCTGCTGTTGGGTTAAGAACTCTGGCTTACCCACCATGTTCTTGCAGTGTCTGAAACCACAATCGCAACTTATCCTTGGCTTTTTTTCCTTGCCTCTGAAACAGAAGCTGGCAAAAGGGGCTAAAAAGAAACCAGCAGTGAGGGAAACAAGCCATGGTTTGTTTGGCTGTCTGTCATGGCTTAAGCCTCCAACCATGGTTTATTATGAGTGGTGAATACATCTAATGTTACAGAAGTCTCAAATGGGAATAAGTGAAACTTTTTTTGTGTGTTCTTACCTAATTGGAAAGCCAGCAGCACTGATGTTGATAGTTTCCACAATGCCACAAGCCTCCAGCTGATGCAGAACCTGAGAGGAAAGGGTGGTTTTAAAGAAAGATGCACTCTAGCGACCAGAGAAATGGGTTCCAAAATCAAAGAAGTGCCTAGTCTGAACCTCACCAGGCTCTTAGCCATAGCATTTACATCTGCAAAATGGGCAACAACTGCACAACAGAAAGAAGCAGGGGAGAAAGATGTTGTGGGACTGCATCCATGCCCAGTCGATGACAGAAAGGAATTTCAAAAGAAAAAAAGGGTCTCGGGGTGCAAAAGGGTGGAATGCCCTGAAGGTTCTGATGGGGTTTGCAAACAGCACATCCCTGCAGGACCTCAGCCTGCTCAGCTTTCCGTGACTAGAGCACCCATCGTGTTTGTTCAACAAGTCTAGTGCTGACGCGGGGTTTGCAAACGGCACATCCCTGCAGGACCTCAACCCGCTCAGCTTTCCGTGTTTGTTCAACAAGTCTAGTGCTGACGGCTGGTCCCAGAATGACAACCTGTACGTCGATGTCCAGCACCAGAGACCAAGCTCACCTTCAGACACTCAAGGGTCTGAGAGGATTATTACCTCATCTTTTTGGAAAAGAGCTGCTTGGCAATCCGTATTGGGCTTGATGCACCTGATGTAGTGTGGGGTAGTGCTGTTCAGGATCCCCACCAGCTGTTCAAGGGAACCCTATGAGCAGAAAGAAAGAAAGAAAGAAAGAAAGAAAGAAAGAAAGAAAGAAAGAAAGAAAGAAAGAAAGCAAGATGGCTGTGGTCAGTCTTCTCAATACTGAAAATTAAACCAGGTTCTGGTTTCAAGTCAAGTTTCTAGTCCATATGTTGTGAAACTGTGTTCTATCAGGATTCTTGCACTCTACAGGATTGTTCAAAGAGTACTTATGCAGAAGTTCAGTCATTTAAATTTTTGTTCACTTACTACACTCCTATATTTCCACTAACAGTAAAAAGTAATTGTTTCAAGTTTCTCATTCATTTAAAGAGGCTGATTCTTGTGATATTTGCTCTTTGAGAGATTTTCTGTCTAGTCACCCTGATGGGTCTTTGAATGTACAGAGACCATGATGAAGAACTAAGTTACTTTTAATTAATTCACCCTGAGAGCTACAAGCTATGGCCTGTGGTGCAAAGCACACCAAGCTCTTTTGCCTTATGCCCATGGCTTCCTCTGTTGAGAATCTCAATTTTCATTTCATTTTCAAAATATGGTTGGGCAGCTTTTCATTTCCAATACAGTCCTTCACCCTTGACTGTGGCAGAGAAGCTGTCGGAGGGAAAAGGAAAAGATACCGGAGTGTGCTTTACCATGCTTAAATCTATTTTTAAAATCCCCCAAAGGGACAAACCTTGAATTTGGAGACCACAGTGGCAACGGCTGGCTTCGTCTGAGTCTTGACATTGCTGTTGTTTGCTTTTTGGCTCGGTGGAAATAATTTCTGAAGCAGAGGGTCTTGGGAGCGCTGCAGCAGCTGAATCAATTCTGGGGGGACAGGGTCCTTTTTTGGAACAACAAACACATCATTGTAAATATTTGTTGTGTTTAACGGTAAACAAAGACAGTCAGCAGGGCCAAAAATGAAATGTTTCCCATCTCTGCATCTTCTTTCCACTCCATTTCCCTTGGTGCTGCACAGTCTCTCTCCCCCCCTAAAAAACCTCAGGCGGTAAGGCCTTGTTTCCCAGGGCGCCACCCTCCCAGCCCTCAAGTCTCTCTCTTGAGGGGATTTGTGGACAAGGAAAGTTTACTGAGCTTTACCTTGTTTTTCTCCACCATGCCTTCCACCTGATAGCAGACGTTGCCCGCGTAATGGGAAATGACAAAATTTGGCTCCTTTCGAAACCTGTCCTGGCTGACACACGGGTTATTGGGAAAAGCCAGCTCGATCCGGCTTTGGAGCTGCCTGGCGTCAGAGAATCTGTTGAGGCGACACTCCTGTCAAAGAAGAGGAGAAAGCTGACAACAACATACGCCCCACACATAGACCTTCCTTTTTTTCACTGCCGAGACCTGCTCACCCCTCTGCCTTTTGCTGCTCCAGCCCAAACAAGAAAGGAACCTTATAGACCACAAACAGTTTTTCAAAACAAATTAGCCAGCAGGTGGTGACCGTGGTTAAGGAGAGAACAAGAGCAGATGATGGCAGTCAGGAGGGAGGCTCAGAGGAGGAGAGAGGAGGCACCTCACCATCTCAGCCTCCCTCGGTCTCAAAACAGGGCGCATGGCTGTTTTCCATTCACAGGGAGGTCAGACTTCTCTCTGCCTCGCCCTCCGTCGATCACCGTTCTGGCTTTATGCCTCAGCAAGATACAAACTAGGGCTTTCCCACTTTTAGTTCCTACGTGGGGCTTTTGACCTGTTATACAATCAGCTCATCCGTGAATGGTCCAGCACAACGTTGAGACTGATGGACGCATGGTTGCCCAACTCGTGAGCAAATCAGGCAAAGCCTGGACATGGAAGCCAGAAGATGGGACTCACCTCATTGAGCAAGGAGAAGATGCTAACAGGAGCGCCTTCTATCACGTCCAGACAGTTTTGATTATCCTGGTAGTTGACGAAAGACCACTGGAGACCTTCTGTGGTGTATTCTTCCTGGGGGGGAAGTGCACACAGTGGGGTGAGGGAAGAGGAAGACCCTAGGGCCAAGCTCCCCACCTCACATTGGCCGGTGCAGGACGGCCTGACGGCAGAATCCCCAGAAGGGCCTTTACCTGCTGGGCCTTCAGAAAGTGGCCGACAAAATGCTGCTGAAGCTTTTCGTTGGCGTAGTTGATGCACAGCTGTTCCAAGTGGTTGTCGGAAAAGGATTCAAAGCCATAAACATCCAACAGACCTGGGATGGGTTCGGGCGAGGTTGTGGTAGGAGGCGGGAGGAAAAGAGACACAGGGTTCAGGCGGCATTTTCCCATTCTGCCACTCTGAACATCAGCCCTTTCCATCCATCCCACAAGGAACATGACACAAAAGTATACCCTTCAAAGTCCACATACTGTACTGTCTTCTCTTTTCATGATTTTTCTTTCCTTCCAGAAAGACAATTCGTAGGGACTTTGGAACAAACAGTGGGGGCTCCTACACCTGTTTCAAACTCTTTATTGCTTTTGTGCTGAGCCCTGAAGACCAAAAGCCTAAAGAAGAGACTTTGATCTTTAGTCCTCTTGGCAGGCTCCCAGGGGACCCTTTTTCAGGGTCCCACGTGCTTTTATTAAACAAATAAAGGAAGGTTATAAGAATGACTGAACACTTGGTGCCAAACCATTTCTGTTCCTTCTATTTATAAACTTCCATTATAGTTTTATTGAAAGTAACAAGAACTGTTTGGCACAACGTCTTAATACTTGTTGGAGTTGTTGTTTACATTATACACAAAAGAAGAATGTAACTCCCTCTCAGCCTGCATAATGGCTAGAGAGGTTGCAGAATTACAGTTTATACATGTTTAGGATAGAGCAGTGGTTCCCCGCCTTGGGCCACTCCGGTGTTCTTGGACTGCAGTTGCCAAAAGCCTTCACTTCCAGCTGGGCTGGCCAGGATTCCTGGGAGTTGCAGCCCAAGAACACCGGGGTGACCCAAGGTCTGGAACCACTGGTGCAGAGTGTAAGCAATTCTGTCAATGGCCTGCAGAGAACGTGGCACCCTAGAAAGCACAGCTCCACTAACTGGTAATGTCATCAATGGCCTGCATGCAATTGGGGGGGGGGGTTTGACAAAAAGGTACCTATGAAACTGCTCCACACGGAAGGCTCTGCATAGATACTTCCATTTATCACGGCCACCAGCCAGTCAAAGATCCTGTAGCAAAAACAGAATGTGGCCCGCCTCCTGTCAGCTGCAGAAAGCAGTGGAGCCAAAGGGGCTGGGGGTCAAGGTCTTGTTCACCTTACGCTCCCAAATTGATTTGCAGACTCAGCTTCGGGCAAGTCCAAGAAGGACAGAACGCACACGCAGCACACAGGCAGAGAAACGCAAACCACCCCAGATGTGGAAGGGAAAGGAACAGCTCGGGCGGAGGTCGGCCTCTTGAGACTTAGAAGCCTTCCTTCTTTATTGCCATCTCTCACAAAGCACATGCTGTGCAGGGACCCAGCTTTAGAGGCAAACTGTGCGGCTACAGGGAGTGTCCTGATGGGTGACGGGATCTGAGATTTTACTCCTCCATCCATGCCTACGGCAGAACTTGGAAACCCAGGAGTCAAATCCTGATGGGGCTAGAACGGCGAATGCTCTCTCGTCCAGGCTGATCTACCCCACAGGGCTGGTGTACGGGGTGCAAAGAAGTTTGTGAGTGGGAGGAAGGGCCGGACACAGCGACATATCCCAAGGGGAGCACCAAAGCGTTTACCTGGCGTAAATCACTTTGGCCAAGCAGTCTCTCCTCGTCTCACATTCTCCTTTGGGGCAGGCCTTCTTGAAGACCTGCCGTTGTTTGCCAGCTGTGATCGTACGGATCCTCAGCGTTTCCAGCAGCTCATCTTCCACCACTTGTAACAACCTGGAAGCGGTCTCTGCAAAAACTGATTTTATTCATTAAAAACAACAAAAGCAACAGGTTATTTAATCTTACCTAATTATAACATATTCTAAGAGGCATAGGATTAAGAAATAAAACAAAAGGCTCTTTCAGCTGCCACTCAATAGCATCCCCTCTGCTATTTCAGACTCTCCCACCTTCTCACCTCTGGGCATCAATTCCAGCTGGATGCCAAAGAGAGGGAAAGAAGGCGACCCGGCGTCTCCACTTCAGACTGGCCCCCTTGGGCCCTTCCTTTCCCGTCACCAAGGAAAAAGGTTCCAGACAGGCCCCTGGAACCGTTTCCAGCCAGCGGGTCATGATAAGAACTGAACTGTCTCCCACGTCCACACACCCCCCTACCCGCTCCCTATGTTTCATGCTGCTAATTTTCAATTTACAGTATTTATTTAAAATCTTTTTGCCCCGCCTTGTCTCTTAAAAGCTGATGGCAAGGAAGATCCCAGACTTTACTGGACGTTCTTTCTTTATTTCCTTTCCTTTTTGGCTTCGGAGGATTAGGAACACTTTGTGCCAATACTTCAGTCTCATTGCTGTATTCACAAGGAGATTCTAAAACTAAAGCCGTAGACAAGAATGGATCTTGCATTTCTCACCTCCAACACCATCTTTGAGTTCACAAGGCTGCGACTCATCCTCTGACTCAGAAAAGTGGATGTTGCCTACGTGGAGCAATCCTGCCAACATCTGTAATGGAGAGATGGTGTTATTCAGCACTGAGGAACAGGCAGGTGGGATGTTTGGAGAAACACACACCCAGCTTTCCAAATATTCCTGGAGGAAAGGGACAGGAAGCCACTGATGCTCCTTGAAGGTTTAAGCCAGATGTGGGGGATCTAATTCACTCTGGAAAACCTCCACGCACTGCGATTCCCTTCTAAAGCAAGGTGAAAGGCTCATGTGTGAGTGCCATTGCCAGTGTTCCCACGCCACCACCCCCCAAAACCAGCAGTGAAATTATAATACCTTTCAGTTTTTAAAAAATGTGAAATAAATGTATTTTGGGATGGGGTACAGCCCATGGGAGACCCTTTGGCAAAATTACCTTGCCCATCTTTGGCATAAGATGATCAGTGGAAAAGCAGGACTACAATTTCCTTGGAGGTTTCTTGAGGAAAAGGTACCCGGGAGTCCTTAAGGTCTGTCCCAGGCCTGCCTGCTAGTTATCGGCATGGTTTAAAACAGAAGAACCCAACCCTTGTCAAAGCGTGTTTGAACTGACCTTGAAAATATTATTCTGTGTGCAGCTGTCAATTCCTAAGTGGGACATGGCCTCTCTTGTCACATCAAAGCAGTCCTCTGGTGGGGGGGGAGAGAAAGACATATACATCACCTCTCTCAGAACAACATCCCCAATGAGACAATAAGGTGATTCTGCCTTAATGCTACAGCATAGCTTACAAAACTTTAATGTATAAAACCCAGCCGGTTTGTGAGACCTAAGCATGGCTTGTTGCGATGCCTGGGCTCATAGCCCAGGACAAACTGGGGTTTCTGAGTGGCTGCCAACCACCATGGGAAGATGTGAACAGGTGAACAAGCCATGCACTGCAAGCAACGGGTTTTGCAAATTTATAGTTTGGCGTCATTTGCAAATTAACAAACTATGATTTCCTCAGAGGTTTCTTGAGGAAAAGGTACCTGGGAGTCCTTAAGGCAGAGATACAAAATATAAAGGCATCTTTGGTTGAACATAAATCATGGTTTGGAATCATATGACAGTGCAAGGTACGGTTTGAGCTCCACTAATTTACATAAGTTTTTTTAAATCATCCTTTCCTTATCCTTTTTATGCTGACTTGGTATCTTCTCAGAGCTTTCCCCAAAGTTTCTGTCTAATGCTTTTTTGTTGGTGTTGTTTTTTAACAGAACTTTAAAGAAATAACAATGGTTTTGCTTTCTTTGTTCTTAAAACTTCCTCCTCTTTTACTTTAAAAGGCTCAGGGTGGTTTATAACATTTAGATTTTTCAACTGTACCTTCTAGAGTTTTCTTAGAATTTGGCAGCCAGGAGAATTCTGTGCCTTCAAGGAGACTCCATTCTTGTCGTTCTTCTAGGGTGGCGCCTTTTGCAATCTGGAAGGGGAGAGAAAAGCTCATCTCGTCTCCAGTCGTATTCTAACCAGTAAGGAGTAGACCAGTAATGAAGGGGGAAAGAAACAACGAAGGGAGGCAGGAAGGGGAAATCGTCTTGCAGATGCTTACAAGTGCCACACTTCACACATCCTTACAAAACAATGGTTTGCCTAGGTTTCATAAATTCCTTCCCATGACTGAAGGAAAACAATTTGGCCATCATCCCACCCCAAGTCATACCTGACCCAAACCATGTTTGTGTGCTCTTCAATAAAATTCTAGCACTAATACCTTGTTACATACAAACCATGGTTTATCAACTGAAATGTGACAATAAACTAAGTTAAACCGAACTAAGCTTGAAACCATCCAGTATCAGTTTTGGGTAAACAAAAAAATAAGGGAACTTGGGGAGGAGAAAGATGATCAGGAAAGGAGGAACCCCTCTCCACATCAAAAAGCCATTCCCCCTCACCTTTCTGGCATGCACCTAGGGTGGGTGGTGGCGGCAAGCTGGCCTTTGGGTTTTGTCTCCCCATCCCTAGGGTGAGCTTGCTGTGTGAAACTACAGTAGGATTCGAAGGACTAGGATCCTCAGTGAAAGAGGAAAAGGTTGATGTCTCTTGCGCAGCCTCCAACCCACAAACCCAAAATGGAACCGTCACGAGCCTGAATTAAAAATCAACAGACATGTTGATGGCACTGACCTGGTAAAAAATATGGAAATTCCTCTCCTGTGGGGCTTGATAGGCAACCCTTGTTTTTTCCAGCAGGAATGTCTGAATGGAAGCACTGGTTAGAAGCTGGGATCTGGAGAAGGTCAGGATTGAACACAATGATAAATCCACCCTTGGACCCCTACCCCTGGAAGGTGAGCCCCCGAGAATGTCTCTGGACTGGACTTCGGCTCTAAGGCTGAAAGTGTGGACCTGGGATGACAAGCACATGGAAGTCTCCTTGTTTCATCTCCACACCATTCCTTAGAGCCCCACCAAGATTTCTGTCCCTCGGAAGTTCTGTATCAGATTACATGATACTTCCGCTGCCCAGCTGTTAAAATCGGTGCATATTTCAGCCCACACTTTCCTAGGACACACATTGTTGTTTTTTGTCTATTTTATAAGGTCACACATTTCACTCACTGAACAAAACAGGTTTTGTATCTCCTTTTAGCTCTGTATATTTATGTGCGTATAAAGGAAAAAAGCAGAGAGAATCTGATGCCTGTCATTTATACACACTTCTGTTGATGTAGACTGGAAACTGGATACATTTTAAATTTTTCACTATCCCCCCACCTTCCTGTTTTATTTCCAGAGAACTTGGCACCCTATAAAGCACATCTCTTGTAACTGGTAACGCCATCGACTGCTAGTTCGCCGTAATATAGGTGGGCTTTTAAAAGTCATACCTGTTTAACTGAAGCTGGATGTATTTCCCAAAACGGCTGCTGTTGTTGTTCCGCAGCGTACATGCGTTCCCTGCAAAATAAAGCCAGAATGGGAAACCAGGAAGGTACCCCCCCGATTCCAACAGAATAAAGGGGACAACACGAATCGGTGTGGTTCTTCCCCTTCGTAGGAGTCAAAGAGGCTCATGCACACCAGATGTCATCCAAATGGGAAGGATGGCCATCCCTCTAACACCACAGGAGCTCTGAGATCAAGAAGGCGAGCTGTGAGCAACTATGTTCACAACTTACCTACAACTGTTTTTTTACACACTGTAGTGGCCGAGATCCTGTTCCTTAGTTACGCCTGCAAAGGTGACTTGCAGTGGCTTCTAACTGCCAATTAAGAAATCCCCACTTGGATTTCTGGGTGTGCGCCAGCCTTCTGCAGGCATAACTAAGCAACAGGATCTGAGGCCACACGTATCTAGAAAGACACTCAGAGCAGCTAATCTGTTAAAAAAGAACAAGACAGTCCCTTATCTTAAGCTTACCATGTAAAAAGACACAATACAGAAGATGGAACAAGGATGAGGAGGGGAAAAAAGAGACAGGTGAGCTTTTTTTTGAATTTGCTAGATGGTTGCCACTTTTCTCATCTGCTTAGATTTGTAACATGCTGGCCTGCAATATCTTTCCTGCCAACTGTAAAAACTCAGAAGTGTCATCTTTGGTAAGTTTAATGGTCTGGCATCATATGTGAATCATCAAATCGTGCTTCATAGTTGGCCAGAGGAACAGATTCCAGAAAGCACATTTCTTACAAGTTTATACATAAACTCTACTTTGTGCTAATCCTGGTTTGGAGTGACATCAGAACTGACTGGCTATTGTTACAGACACCACTCTAAGGGAAGCACCGCATCCAGAGATAGGAGTGTTGAGCAAATGAAAAATAAAAGGAAGCAGCTGAAAGATTGTGGTTTGGCTGTTGTACCAATTATGGTTTCACTTCAATCCATGGTTAACCTAAATTGCAGTTTAATACAGTTTGAGTGCTGAGCTGTTGTATTAACAACTGTGTATTTCTTGTTTCTCAAATAGACATCTTTACCAAAAGCTTCCATCACAGGATTGGAGTCCAGCACTCTCCTCTCTATTCTTTCCACGGTTATGCTACCTTTCGGAACAGCAGACGAAGCAGCCACGGTAGCGTAGAATTTCATCAGGCAACGAGATGTCCAGGTCTAGAAACAGAGCTTGGGGTATAAGCCACTGCTTAACAATAACTTAGTCAGACATTCATGTGAAAGAGAAGAAAGACGGCTTTGGCAAGGTCATGCGAAGAGCGTCTACATTATGGGATTGTTTATACATACAAAATGATTTGCAGATGCCACTCAGCCCCAAATGGCCAACACAGCCAACCCCTTTCCCTTGTTTTTGTACGACAGCAAAGTTCAAAAGCAGCTTTCCATTCAGTCAGAATTGTGATCTGTCTAACTGGAGCTACTTATCAAACCAGTATCACTCCACTCATAAGTCAGTGGGTGTCCCTTCCAAATACTGTGGAATTACAACTCCCATCCACCCCAGCCAGCACAGGCACTGGTGAGGAATGCAGAAAACAGCACTTCCAAAACATCTGGACATGTCTTGCCTACCCCTGCACTAAACCATGGTTTCTGTTAGCAGTAGTTTATGCTAGCTCCAGTTTGTTTCTTTAAACATGAATTGTCCCACAAATGACCACAGAAACGTCTCTTTCTTCTACCCATTTTTGGTTTGTTTCTCTCTAGCCACATTCATCAGGTCTTCTGCCAGGTGAGCAGCTGCAGAAACAAACCAAGGCAAAGGAGCAGATCTGACTTGAGATATAACTATGCTGTGGCTTAAACAAGCCAGAATGTGTAAAACCAATAACAAACCACAGCCCCCTAACGTGAATTGTAGCTGGCTTACAAATTATGATTTCTTTGCAAGAACAGGATCAGATCCGACATGAAGTGACAATGCAACAAACCACAACCACAGGCTACTTGGTATTATATTCCAACCTGGCCGATGATTAGAATCAGACTCATTTTTTCTGAGTTCAGATAAAGCAGAAAAATCTGGTTTACTTTTTTAAAAAAACACCAGAGAACAACTCCCTGTGTTTGCCAAACTAGCATGTTAGTGAGTTCACTACATCTCATTGCAAACATTCAAGTTTTCCAACTGTAGGGAACTTGGTGTAAATTTGAAAAGCTCCCTGTTTTGACATGATGCAAAAGGTTCTGCCTGTTGTTCGCATATGCATGCCACTCTGATAATGTAGCTGGCAAGAGGCCATTTCCAACAGCCAATTTGAGAGATGAGTTTAAAATACATTGATTCCCCTTACCTTCCCTGCACCGCTTTCGCCACTAACGATGATGGATTGGTTTACTGGTGGAATCTGGCTTTGGACATTTCTGTAGGTCTCCTCTGCCACCACAAAAACGTGCGGATTTAATTCCTAATTGAGTGGAGGGAGCACACAGAGGGGTGTTTAGAAAGAAACAGGCTGCAGTCAGGGCCAATTCTACCAGGGGCTTCACATGAAGGGAATCAGAACCAGAGTTGAAATAAGGTACGGGCTGGGGCCAGAGGCTGGCATCAATGGGCACCTGCTCACACTCACATTGTAACAGGGGTTCTCTGCCAGTTCCTGGAGCCCCCTGGCCTTGCCTTCACTGACTATTCATTTGCATACTTTAGGCCTGTGTTTCACAACCTTGGGTTACCCAAGTGTTCTTGGACTACAACTCCCAGAAACCCTGGCCAGCACAGCAGGTCGTGAAGGCTTCTGTCTCCAGTCCACCAATCTCTCCCTGCCCGGATCCAATCGTGGGCAAAAGAATGAGGCCCGGTGACCCCTGGGAAAAAGAAATGGGCTAACAGGGGACCAGGCCTGAGGTCATGGGTCAGTGCCATGACTCCAGCAAAGTGATGACAAGCCCAATGAATGTGACACTCCAGAGCCTGCCAATCCTTGGACGTTCAAGGAATCTGGAGCCAGAGCCGACAGATGGTGGGGGTTCAGGTGTCGGGTCCAAGGTGAGCCCCCACCCCACCCACTGCTCGGGAGTGAAGAAGGATCAAGGCCCAAGCCTGACTCTAGGGAAGCTCTCCTCATGGTCCCACGGACGTGGCCTCCTCACAAGTAGGCTCTTTCCTCCCACGGAGACCCTTGTAGGTGAGTCCTTCCCTTTGCTGCCTGAATACCTGCAGCTGCGTGCTGGGAGGAGCTCCAGCAGCAGGGCTGTAAAAGAGCCTTCGCCGGCCCTGGAAGCTTCCTGCCTCTGGATCCTGCCTGATCTTTAAGACTGATGGTTTTTTCAAGAGCGGGGGAGGAACAGGATGTTGGATAATCCTAAATTCCCCACCATGGAACCAGACACACCAAAGCTCTGGCTTAGCCCAGCCCAGCCTCTTCTGTTCCTGTTTCAGCCCGCTGTTGGGGAACATGCTGGACTACACCTCCCATCACTCCTAGCCGGCCTCATCAAGGGCAAGGAATGATGGAAGCTGCTGCAGCCAAGGACAACCCGAGGGCCACCGGTTCGCTCTTTGCACCTGAAGGCAGGTGGCCGCGTGGTACTCCTTCATCAGCTCCTGTGAGTAAAGCCGTGGGAGTGGGCGGAACGGGTTGACGGCCACCAGGCTGCAGCCGGCGTTGGTGTAAAACACATCGATGGCGTATCGCGCTTGTAGGCACTTCAGGACTGAGGAAGGGAAAAGGTTAGGTCAGCACAGGTCATGAAGACGAAGCAGGCCCTTTAAACCCCCCACGTCAGAGCCTCCTTTTCTAGAATAAACACGGGGCTCAGAAACCCAGTTTTCTTTTTAAATTGCTGTGTGACTTTGGGAGTGCCATTCAAAAATGTGCACTTTTCCAAGCTCTGATGATTTGGGAGATGAGGGGAGGGAAGGAGCAGGCGTTCCCCCCAACCCGAGGGGCTTCTTAGTGCAACCCCCCCATACTGCCTGAAAGACATGAAGGGATGGGTGGGGATTTCAAATGAGGGTGTCCCTCAGCCAGTGCCTTTATTTTGCATTACCATCTCTCTCTGACTCAGAGGTGGGAAGAATGATTTTTTTTCAGTGGGAAGGGGACTAGAATCTCCCCAAAAAAAGCCCCCCGATAGCTGTTTCAGTCCAAAGAGTCAGCTGATCAGGGACCAGGATTAGAGTTTAAATTGGTCCAGGGCAGAGCCTAGGGGACTGGACTGCTGCTGTGTTCTGGGGGGTCCAATGCAGTTACACTCACTCACTGCCCCCCCATTCCAGGAAATTCTGCCTTCCCATAAGGGTTTTGAAGAGTTCTGAACTCATACCAGTTGTGGTGGTTACAGGATTCACTTTTGTAAGGTCATCAAAGAGATGCAGCTGCTGTTCATTATTCAGAAATGATTCAACATCTTCCCCAAGACTGTGATTGTCATTGCAGGAACTGACAACTAGATCTCCCTTTGCACCATTTACCTGAAAGCAGAAATGGCAGAAAATTCCAAATACTGTGGTGCTGCTCAGCCCCTTTCAGCCAGAGCACCAGTTCTTAAAAGGTAAGGGACACCAGGAACTGCCTTGGTGTCAGAGCCTGGAAAGTTACTCCTTAAGAGTGCATAAAGAGTAATTTGTTGCTGTTACTCATTAGGCTATCACAGAAATAACTGAGTAACTTATTAGATTACTCACAGTATGTGTGGCTTTAAAAATTATTTTCCATTGCAGTGGTGTCTTGCTTGACGACATAAATCCGTTCCAGCGAAATTGCTGTTAAGCGAAATCATCATCAAGCGAATTTAAAAAACCCATTGAAATGCATTGAAAACCCTTCAATGTGTTCCAATGGGCTAAATACTTCATCGTAAAGTGAAGATCCTCCATAGAGCAGCCATTTTCCGGTGCCTGTATAGTGAGGAATCTGTCCTAAAGCACAGCGGGGAGCCATTTTGCACAGTGGGCGGCCATTTTAGAGCCAGCGATCAGCTGTTTGAAAATCGTCGTCTAGCGAAAAATCGGTTCCTTGAAGCAGGGAACCGATTGCGAAGCAAATTTTTCCTATTAGAACATCGTTTGATCGCGAAGCAAATTTTTCCTATTAGGACATCGTTTTGCGATCGCAAAAACCTCATCGTCAAGTGTTTTCATTGTGGTCTTAAGTGACTAGATAGGTGGGATATAAATAAAATAAATAAATTAAGCGAGGCACCACTGTATTTGAAGTGGGGAGATTGTTAAAGGGCATAAAACTTGGAGCATTATTTCAGAACATCTATACAGATGTTCTTTAAAAACCAGAAGTTCTTTATAGCAATAACTTACTGCCATTCTGCAACTCATCACTCTGTCTGCTGTGCCACATCGGTTGTGGGGATAGCTGGAAGATTTTGTTTTCCTTTAACACATACTCAGTAAAGGACTAAAAGCAGCTACCAATCCTTCCTTTCCCTCTTAATGTTTATGAGATTATACCTGTTTGGACACTTCCCTCCTCATTTTGGGGCACGTTGAGGTTTGTGAAGGAGAAATCATTCAGTTCCAATAACTGGCTTGGAAACCCTACACAGAGGGCCTTTAGATCACAGAAACACTGAGCGAGGAGAAACCAGGTGCCCTAAAAATGACAACGGTGGTTATTTCAAGACGTTTTAGTAACCTGCATTATGGCTCCACTCTGGATTAAACTCCCTGGATGTCCTGCAGATAATAATTTACATGCAATTAAATTCCTTTTAATATCAATTAGGGTACAAGTAAGTTGCATTATCAAGTGTAAGTACGTTAAGGACAGACACACATTTCTTTTCCAGTGTAACTATCTATTTTACTTCCTTTTTACAATTACAAGGGTATGCGGATTTATGGCTTATTCTGAGTACTGTATGTTGTGCCAAAGACTTAAAGCATGCTGCTGTTTTCAAACTAACTCTTTTAGTTACTTTATTTTAATGGAAAATGTATGCATCGGAAAATGTACGCACACACAGTTGCAAGTGAAATGCTAGTTAGCAGAACTATTTGTCTGCAAGACAAATGAAACTGGTGTTTCTTTGGACTGCCAGATAATTAAGAATACTGTAATCAAAATAGAATCTCCATGGCCTTAAAAGCAGATTTCCTGGCTGTTATAAAAAGACTGGTGCTGGCAAGAGAAGGAAGGCCTGCAGAGAATTTTTGCACAGGTGTGGCTAGTGGAAAGTTATATACCCAAAAAAAACCAGCCCACTTGCAAAAATAGCAGTTTCATCCAGGTCCATTAAAACTCAGCGAATAGCAGTCAACAGATTTACAACTGAGCCAGGGCCCTCTTGTTTTTAAATTTTCCGTAACTTCATTTTTGGAATGACACTGTACAACAAGGAAACTTTATAGTATAACCCAGATTGAATTGCATAACTCATTTATTACACCTCAAAGTCAATGAAACAGAGTGAGCAGGCAGGCGGCCCGGCTTCTTCTGAATCAGCACACTTGAAAGCAAAACACGTCCCCTGCCCCGAGGCTAGTACGGTGCAGCCTTGGGAGGAGTTACTTTTTGGGACGCAAGGTGCAGAATTCCCAGCCGGCATAGCCAGTTCCAGTATGGGAAACACAGGCTGCCTTTCTCTTAGCCAGCTAGTAGACATTTTTATAGATCACTAGGAGCCTTTGTGGGTTTATTTATAAGACTGTTTTATTCATGATGATTATTAGACATCCACTGTTCCCTGGCTAGGCTGCTGAAGGCAAAGTACTCTGAGGTCTTCCAGCAGAGAAAGCACCCTGCATTGCTAAAACCCATCTACCAGGTAGAAAAGCTATAAATGTTTTAAATAGGCAGGCAAACACCCAAGGTATTAACAACAAAAAATGCTTAAACTTGAAAACAAGATATTGGATGTTGAATAGGTAGGGTTCAAAAGAGTGGCTGTCCATAGCAGTTGGGGGCTCTATTAAAACCAGAGGTATTAACCTTATTATTACTCTTACTCCTATGCTTATCAAAGGTATTATCCATTCTATTGTTCAAGCGAACTCCCCGTGATTGTTTACCAAAGACAAGGTCAAAAATCAGGAGAAGGAGAACAGTTTGGAAAATAACAGGCAACACATTAATAGCCAGACTTATTTATAGATTTATAACAGGCACAACCACACATGCTAAAATCTCAGAAAACCACTGCTTTTGTCCTACCAGGTCCTGCTTTCCCCACCCCTTCATGGTTTGGCAAGGTTATTCTCGCTCCCCCGCAAGTGCTCCTGGTTCCAAAAGACAGAATGGGAAGGAAACTTGGCCATGCTCAGAGGTACTCTTGCTTCGGGAGCAGCCAGGTGGGACTAGGCTCCAGAGTCGGGGGTCTTGGACCTGTGAAATCCGATTAGCCAAGGAGGGGAGGGGGAGGTAGCTGTTATCCCGGCGGAAGGGGAGAAAACAGGAATTTACAGTAACGAAATCCCTGGATATTAAACAGCTGCTGGCTCAGAAGGGCTCACCTCTTCCAGAGATCTGGCCGGAGAGGAAAAGAAAAATCTGACCCGGGCGGCAAGGAAACGTCCTCCAGCGACAGGCTGGCGGACCCGGCAAAGGCGGAGCCGAAGGCAGGGGTTGCTCAATTTTGAATCGGCCCTGATTTTGCATCCTGGGAAGATGAGGCGTTGGGTGTCCCGCCCGCGGGATCCACCCACCGCGAAATCCCGGGAGGGTCTGACTCGGAAGGGATCCACCCTCCTCCTGGGTGCGCGCGGATTTGGGGGGAGCGAGCGGCGGCTGGACCCCCCGGAGGCTTCCCTGCCGAGAAAAGTGGCCGAGCGAGATCGCCGCCTCTCAGCTGCCCCGCTTGGAAAAAGTTCGGAGGCTTCCCTGCCGAGAAAGGGGGCCGAGCGAGATCGCCGCCTCGCAGCTGCCCCGCTTGGAAAAAGTTCCTTTTTTACTTCCCCCCCCCCCCACCACCCCGGACGATCAGGCTCTCCCCCCGTCATGCCACGCTTTTGCTGTTGTTTAGTGGTTAAGTCGTGGTCCGACTCTTCGTGCCACGCTGGCTAGGGAGAAAGCCCAATACAAAAGGAGGTCCGAAACTAAGTGCCTCGCCCGGGCGGCCACCAGGGTCCCTACTCGGGAGCAAGGGCCACCAGATCCCTAGACAAGGTGCGTGGGATCGCAGCCCCGGCCCCAAAACTTGCGGAGTAGGTTTCGCAGGATGCAGCTCTCCTCGGGTCCCTGGAAGGAAGTTCCCACAGCACCCCATCATCCGAAGCGTTCCCTACTCGGAAGTAAGCCAGCGGGTGGCCCACGGCTGCAAGGTCGACCTCTTCCAAGAGGCCCAGCCATGCTTACTCGGGAGTAAGTCCCACTGAATTCAGCGCCGCCGCCGCCCCGCAGCTTAACTCCCCTTCAGATCGCGAAGGAACGGAGCAGAAGCAAGAGCCGAGCCTTAACCCGAGCACGTGGAGACCGAGCGAACACGTGGCTCGCCCTACCGGCGGGAGCGGAGGCGGCGATCCCACTCCGGGACCGAGACGGGGCTTTAAAATCCCACTTGTGGCGTCCGCTCTCCGCTACCCCCAAATTTCGGAAACCTCGTCCTTGCACGCCGAAAGCGAGCACAGTCGAGAAAAGGTAGATCACCCGAAAAGGAACCGCAAAAAAAGGAAAGACGAATTCATTTCTTGAGCAATGTTCCGATTTATTTATTACTGTATTTATCTTCAGCGGGCTGCATCCCCTTCAATGTGCTTGCTTAAGGGAAGGTCTGTGGTCCCCCCCCCCCCACTTGAAAGACTTAAGATTTATTTCAGCGAGAGTTTTTGTGGATCAAGATCGGTTTCTTCTGAAGAAGGAAGAGCCGGATGTTGATCCAGAATAGCTCACGCGGTTCGCCTTTCAAGGTATTGTAATACAGTACTGTACTGTATTTTTCCTTCCTATTGCCCCATTCACACCGACATGTTAGGGCGACTGGGTTGGAAATTAAAGATGGAAATAGGCACTAAAGCTCCCGCCACCATAAAACCAAGCCGTCAAAGCTCCACAAGCTTCCCTTTTCTTTAAGCTGGACCGAATAAGCAAGACACAAGACCAGGCTGCAATTCTGCTTTGAGAGGGGCTGCTATTGTATCCGCTCAGTGAGTGCCCGGCCGCCACCTTGGCGCTCTGCGTCTTGGCGAATCGGGCGATGCGATTTAGCAGGCTGTTTGGTGACGAAAATGCTGGCGGGGAAACGGATCTCTCTTTTACTTTTTAAGGGGCTGCAGGAAGTAAAGATGAGCAGCCCAGCAAGAATTGTGGAGCTGGGGTTTTACATGCATTCCCTCCCTCCTCCCCAAAATGCAACTGGACCGAGCCATTATGGTGAGAATACTTTGATCTCTCAAGTCCTCAAATGCAAAGCGCTGTGTATTGAATAATGCAGGTAATATTTTTAAACAACTATTGTTATTTTGTACATTTTCCTGAATGCTTGAAAATGTTTCTTTTTATTGTAAATTCCAGAATTCCCTACTCAGCATGGCTTGAGGCAATAGGATTCTGGGAATTGTAATTTCCTCAGAGGGAACATTTCCAAACACTGGGTTTCTTTCATTCCCTTACAGCAATCCCATGCCTGCTTACCTAGAAACCTCACGGTCTGCCTTCTAAAGAGATATAAACAGGATTCCACTACAAATTATATTTAAAAGGGTTATCAGGGGGTTCAGTGGGGAACCTCTGTTTCTCTGGATGCTTCAGGACTTAACTCTGAGTAGCTCCTCCACTTCAGGATGGCCCATGATAAAAGAGTGTAGGCCAAAACATCTGGAGAGTGAAAAGTTCCCCAGCCCTCCCAAACTTGGTGCCTGCCAGATGTTTGGGGCTACAGGCCCCATAATGCTTACTGCTAATCATGCTGGCTTGGAATGATGGGAGATGTAGACCGAAACATTTAGAAGGTGCCAGGTTGAGGAAAGCTGGATTGAATCTTTGCAGAAACCTTCCTCCCTTTCCTAACTGCACATCACTCGTTTCTCTGCGTGTGTTCATTAACTAAGTGCCATCATGGGCCCACCTTTTCCATCGAGGCAGTCTAACATGCAAGATTTGAAAAGGGGCAAAACATAAAACGGGAGAAAGAAGGAAATCATGTTAATACAGCAGATATTGATGTGCACCTGGTCTTCTGCATACTTAAAATGGAAAGAGAAATAAAGATATCTGCTCCCAATGTGCTATTAATCTAAAATTTGACAAGGAGATTTGGGAGGAACAGAGACACAGTCTGTGGCCAATTTCAGTGGTCAGTTTCACTGCTATTCCTGGGAGTCAATTTCACTGAACTGGGTGGGAATTTTCTATGAGTTTTCAGGAGATCCTAAGCTGCCCTTTGAATAAGGATGCCATCTTAATCTAGGCAGTAATGCTGAGAGAGAGAAATGTATAGTTTTTAAAGATTTTGCAGTGCTAGGAGACCAGGGTGTGGTTGGAGTCTGATCTTTACTTCCTTTATTTATTTATTAGATTTATATACTGCCCATCTAGAACAGATCTACTTTGGGCGGTTTACATATAATATAAAAATAAATTAAGATAAAAAGATTCATCAGAGAAGCCTCTCCCTGGCAAGCAAAAACATGCCCTGTACAAAGACATGTATTGCAGAAATGTTTTCATGGAAAAGATGAGGGCGGTAACTGAATTGTAGACGGCCTTAAAAACCTGGGGCTTTTAAATCTTGCTGTTTTATTTATTTATTATGTAGTTAGAAAAAAGTGACTCTTCCAAAATCTGGTTAGGAGATGTGTTTTTTAAATCCCTTGTAGGATCTACAGTAGGTCTTCTCTTCTTCCTTTGTCAAAAATAGGCTGATGATCCTAATTAAATATAGACGATTTCACTGCAATCATTCTATGAGTGTAAACTGCCAAATCCTGTAAATTATACTTTTTTTTCCAAAATATTTTTAAAATTGTAATTTTTAAAATATTGTTCTTTTAAAAAAATAAATTCTTTTCTTATTAAAATTAAGCCCTGGTTCTTAATTTCCCCCCCCAGATGTTCACTTGCGTGCCCAAATAAAAGTAGACATACATCAGAATCCTCTGGTATACTTCACTAGCGAGCTAGGTAAGCTTTTTAATTTATTACAATTGTCTTGTGCAAATACATGTTAACACCCATTGCTAAAATGTCTCTCCCAGACTGACTGAAGCTGGTGAGCACTTTGTCATGCCTGCCAAGAGGAACCAAAAAGTGCAGCCTTCTTCATAGGACCTGTTTGACACCAGGTTCATCTGTCTAATAGGTTGTTCTCTGCTTGGTAGAACTCTCCAGGATCTCAGGCAGAGAATATTTTCCCCCCCCCGTTACCAGCTACCTGGAGGTGCTGGGGTTCTGAGCCCAAGTCTCCTTGTGTGCAAGAGCAGACATTCCAACAATGAGCTTCTGGTGCCTCCCATCATTGTCTCGTGGTCTGTATCCTGTGTCTATTTCCTGCTCCTGCTTTCCTTCAAAAACTGAGTTTAACAAGTAATTGGTTGCAAGTATAATTTCAAGACACTGTAGGCCACCTTGGATCATAATATTTGGGGGAAAGGTAGCAGAAGTAGCTCAAGCAGTCACTTTTAGCTACTTCTAAAAATGTCTGAAGCCTGTAAGTTGCTGGCCTGCGATGCACAACACACTTCCTTTCTGTCCACCTTGTCATCGCCTCAGCAAACTATAACAAGCGGCTACAATTATACCACAAAAGGCATGAAGACGTCACCTTCCTCTGAACTTCAGAGGTTGGCCTCCCAGCCGTTTTGCCCTGCTCAGAAGCCTGTCTCCTTCCTTGATACCAGACGAATCCCCCAGGACCAGAATCATCCTTCAGCTAAAACATCCTGAATTCTGTAGAACTAAAAGAATGGTTAAATTCCAAGATGGAGGCTTCTGGATTAGGTTGTGATCCTTTGTGGTGTAGAAAGTCTTGTCATACAGTAGACGCTGCTGCCCAGCCTGGTGTTGGTTGGTTGCTGCAGATTCTGAATGAAGAACAGTGTGGTGTAATGGTTAGAGTGCTGGACTTGGAATTTTACAGATCCAGGTCCTAGTCTGTGCTGAGTCATGAAACTTGCTGGGTGACCCTGCGTACATCAATCTCTCTCATCCTGACACTCCTCCCTCAGACTGTTGGGAAGATACATAGGAGGGGGGGTGGAGAGCCATGTACAGTTACTGGGCTTATGAGAATAAAGGTGGGACAATAAATGTAAATAATAATTCATTTTCCATCTTTTGAAAAAAAATGCAGAGAAAGAAACATGTCACAGCAGCAAGTGAAGCAAGACTTCATAAGCAACCTGAATGGAACTACCTTGCTGGAGATCTCCATCGGCTTGCCCCTCGCCCCCTTATGTCTTCTGTCCAGGGGGCTTCTGTTGACCTTGTACTTCCTCATTGGTAAAAACCCTTTGTGCTCCAGAAGTGGCCTTTTTCTTTTAGACTTTACTGTTTTAGTCGTCCCTCCCGTGCTCTCTTGCACAGTCTTATCTCCCGTCCTGTCTTGGGTGATAATTTCCATCATTGCGTTTTGTGCAGGACTGGTTTCTGTCATATACAGGAGGAGAACGAATTATGTCAAAGTTCCCCTGAATCAAATTCTAAGCGATTTTTCGAGGACAAGTTTGGAAACGGTGCACATTCCTTCGATAACAGCATTCCGAGTGTTTGTCAATGTGCTGACCTCCATCAGCATCCTGGCTGTGGATTTTCCTCAATACCCCCGAAGGTATGCCAAAACGGAGACCTACGGAACAGGAGTGATGGATTTCGGAGTCGGCTCTTTTGTTTTCGGCAATGCTGTGGTTTGTCCTGAAGTCCGTTTGAAACCTGGTATGGTACGAAGCAAATTCTTTTATCTGGCAAAGCAGTTCTTTAGCGTATGGCCTCTTCTCGTGCTCGGCTTTGGACGACTCATGAGCGTGAAGGCAGTGGAGTACTACGAACATGTCACCGAATATGGTGTGCACTGGAACTTCTTCTTCACACTGGCTGCTGTTCGAATGGCCGCATCACTACTTTTGACTCTCTTCCTTCCTCACAATGCGTGGGTTGTTGCAGTGACACTAGCTGTAGTGTATGAATGCCTTCTCGACATGCTGCCTCTGAAAACATTCATCTTGCATGGGAGCGATGGTAAAGATTCAAGGGACGGGTTTCTGAATGCCAACAGAGAAGGCATCTTTTCTGTCATTGGCTACCTTGCCATCTACATGGCTAGTGTGCAGGTCGGTTTATACTTAATAAAAAAGAGAAACACAGTTAAGGAGTGGCTCGGAGTCATCCAATCCTTTCTCTTGGCTGTTTTCTTCCTCTTTATATGTCTGCACGTAACTCAAACCAACGTCGAGGCTGTATCCCGGCGGATGGCAAACCTCTCTTTTTGTATCTGGATGGTTGCTCACTGTTTGTCACTCTTCAGTTGTTTCTTAGCCACTGACCTCATTCTGGTGTTTGTCAAACTTCTAGTGGATGGGGCCCATATTCCTTGTAGTTGGCATTTTGTGCAGCCAACGAGTAAGAAACAAGATTTGCAACCTCAGGACAGAAAACAGATACCTCAAAGTGGGTGTATGATCAGTGCCGTTAACAAAAACCAGCTCCTGTATTTCGTACTGGCAAACATTTTCACTGGCCTTGTGAATATGGCAGTTGACACCGTTCACTGCAACGGTCCCTCTGCCATGTTCATTTTGCACCTGTATATGTTTACAAACTGTTTAATTATGCATATATTGCAAGCACAAAATATAATATTGAAGTGGTGGTAATGTTACTGAGGTTGTATCGTAAAAAAGACTGATTTTAAAGAACACAAAAGCTCACTAATTTTCCTGATCTTCTGCATGCAAGACTAGAATCTCTCTGTATTGGGTTATTTGGAGATCTTGTACTGTATGGCCCACTAAGCTGACCTGCAACCATCCCACTATTCTTTCTCCAGCTGAAATCGCTCTTACCTTTAAAGCAAATAATTGATTCTTATTGGATGATGGGAAGAACTACAGCATGAATGGGGGAATATGCAGGTGACACAGATGTTGTGTTGCCTTTTTTAACAGCCAGTGGTGAGAGATAATGGCAGTTGTGTTCCAATACCTTCCAGAGGGTCCCATGTTCTCCCTCCCAGGGCTAAAGTCTGGAACACTGAAACAATGGGAAGCATTGAATCCTGGATAGTGACTCTAATTTTAGGGTGTTTGCCTCTGTTTCAATGAGGTTGCTAAATAGAAGACTGTTTACTCTATGGCTTCTTTCCAACTTTATGGGAAAATGAAAATAATATTCTTAGAGCTGGAAGGGACCCTATGGATCATCGAGTCCAGCCCTCGTCACAGTGAGAACTTGAACTCCCAACCTCTGGCTCCACAGCCAGAGACCTAAACCACTGAACTATAAATGCCTGAAATTTAGTGCTTAAGATTATTGCATGCGTGATCGCACTTTTCTCTATTAATGTCTCAGGAGGGAAGAAAGATGGTATACTGCTGATCTAGTGAACTCAAACAAGATGGTCATTTGTCAGTTAATTGTGTCCAAGCCTGAAAGGAAATAAATTATTGTGTTTTTTCAAAATATTTTTGCAACTCTTCAGTGTATGGGCACTGACTTGTCATTATTTGTTACCATGTATTTGTTTTCCTAAACCTTCAATAAACAGAGGTGAACGTAATGAAAGATATACCTGTGGTGGAATCATGGCCAGCGAGTAAGTACCAAACATAAACACGGATGCTTCTGTTGGCAATTTTGGAACAGTCATTTTTCAATCACTGTTTGGATTGCTGTTCACCATTGGCTAGGAAGGAATAAGAAGAAGCAAACAGTTAACCAATGGGATTTTGACGTGTGAATAACAAGAAATGAAACCAGATTGGCCCTCATTTCTGATGTCACGGCCTGAACAATGAGCAATCCAGAGTGGAACCATGGCCAGCGAAAGTCATTATGGGATAATCTGCCATTTTCCACACTATGTAATAAAGTAAGTCATTCATACTGAATGAGTATGAGACTAACAATTGACCTCTGTTATATTACCCATAATTAAAAGATTAACTGGTTGTTGCTGGAGAAGGTTGCTGGCATATAGCATAGTCATATGTTGTTAGTGAGGTACATAATGTCCTCTAACTATACCTTTTAAATAATTCAAAATTCATTTTATGTCAAAACACAATATATGACTGAGTATTTTCTGATTTTTTGGATTCCTATGTGTGGTCTGTCCATTACAATCCTATGCAAGGTCACTGAAATGTAAATTTCATCATAATTTTATTACAGTATGTGGAACTTACTATAGGGGAAATATATAGATCTCTGGCTAAGGCTGCAATCTTATACATTCTTACCTAGGTGTATCCCTCTCTGACCTTAATAGGCCCAGCTTCTTAATAGATGCACATAGAATGTACTTTTTTGGCACTTAAGAGGCTACATCTATCAGCCATAAAATGTTTTCCTGAATATGTAGAAAATATTTACCAGCTGCTGTCACTGGTAGAAAAATCATACATTGAAGTCACTTATATATAATTAATTTGGGTTTATCCGGTCAGATTATTATTTCAATCATACATTCATACCCTCCTTTTCTCCTTAAAAATGACCCAAGGCATCATTAAAAGACGATGCTTTAAAGCTAAAAAGAATCAGTATACAATGGTAGTTTACATAATTCATGTGTGCATATTCATTAAGTCCTTTTTTAGACTCCAGTTCTCAGAATAACACAGACAAGCCTGAGTATTATGGTATCGGTCCAAAAAAGTAACTTTTTCCATTTGTTGTCAGCCTAAGGGAAAAAACCCCCCACAAACCCTCTTTAGCCTCCACAATGTTTTGTGTGACTCTTCTGTGCCACCAAGTCAGAACTGACTCATAGCGACCCTGATTGTGTTAATGACATATGAGTGTTAACGATAAGTGTCAATAATGACAGTGAAGTTAGTGTTCATTAATTACAAATTCAGAAAATATTTTAATCTTCTGCATTTTCTCCTCTTTTCTGCAAGGGATTCGCAACAACTTATACTTTTTAAAATTCTCACAATAACTTTTCAGTGGAGCCTAGTTTTTATACAAGGGCCTGTCACCCAGAGAGCTTCAGCTCTGAATGGGAATTGGGGTTCACGGCAACCCAGTGAGGTAGTCTAGGTTCCTGGGTGAGCAGGAACTCAAACCCAGGACCTTCTCTTGCTAGTCAGAAAGGCTAAGCACCAGACACTTTTGTTCTGTTTATTTCATATATTTTTCCTCTGCTTTTGAGGAGTCAAAATATCAGCCCTACCTCATATAGACTTCTTGTAAGGGCTGGGAGAGGGACCATGTTCATGGATATTTAAGATTTAATATTTAAACATCTTTTTAAGGCAAAGGCTGCTACACAAGTATTAGTAATACCTGTATATGACATACCTACATATTTTATTGCATTATAGCCCCTCAGACTGTACACAAGAGCATAGATTAGACCAGTCTTAAAAATGGTATTTGAAATTAATTTATTGATTGCTATTATTGTATTAAAAATATATAAGTATGGACAAGGTGTAAGTATCATTAATCAGATTAAATACCATCTTTTTAATGATGTAAGTCACCTTGGGTGCTTTGCAAAGAGAAAGGCAGGTTAAAATGGCTTTTAACTGAAATAATATCAGCTGTAGGTCTGATGGCAATTTTTAGAATATATATTTTAATTGCATTTTAATTATTTTGCCCTTTTATTTTGCCTTTTTATTGTATTTTAAATGCTGTAAGCCGCCCAGAGACCTTCGGGTAGTGTGGGCGGCATATAAGTTAAATAAATAAATAAATAAATAAAATATTTTAAGTAAGTAATCCCTTTGTTGAATAATAAATATAAGTGCTATGCAGCGTTTTCTGCATAGGCGTTAAAATAATGGAAGTCTTACTGCGTAATAAAAATAAAAGAGGCTTTACTGCATGTGTAAAAAAAAAATTAGTCTTTTAAAGTTATTTTGGGAGGGAAGCCTGTGTGAGCAAAAGACTTACAGCTAAAAGCCAAAAAGGTCTCCTCGGAAGTACACCCCACGGAGCGTGAGGCCCCTTACTGCCAGGGAACCAGGTACAGAATTGGGTAATTACAATTAAAAATGAAAAGCGTTCCCTCAGGGGCGCGGACTACTTTCTGAGGCTGAGGGAATCAGAATGTCGCATCGTATTACGCATGCGCGTTCGCGCGCCGCCTTCTCAAGGGCTCCCTATTTGTGACACTCCGTCCCTCGCCCCGAGAGAGGAGGCGGGGTTATTAGCTTTATTGCTGGATTGATTGATAGGTGTCCTTCCGCGTTACTTAACGGGCGCCTGGTCCCCGGCGCATGCGCAAATGATTATTAAGCACTTTCCTCAGTTTTATATATAGGAAAAAGGGAAGCTCCATTCTTTGCCCCGCCCCTTTCCTCCTCACAACCCTATGAGGGAGCGCGAGGAGGAGAAGGGGGAGGAGAAAGGGGGGCAAAATAACGGCCTCCAAGCGGAAATGGTAGCGGTAAAGGAGAGGGCGGAGCTCGCAGAGGATATTTACATAAGATGAGGGCGACGGAGGGTGGAGCTTGGGGAAAAGAAGAAGAAGAGGGCGAATCAAGGGAAAGCTGATTGAGAGGGCGGGGCTCTGCGTGGCCGGTAATAGGACGAGGCGTAGCGGTGGGGGAGGGGTCGGGAAGGGCCGAGGGGGGCGTGGCCTTCCGAGAAGAAGGAGGGCGAGGGGCGGAACCCAAGCGGGCGAGGAGGCCTTGGCGTTGCCCTTTGGAGAGGGGAGGGCGGGGAAGGCGAGAGAGAGGGGCCAAAAAGCACCCACCCCACCCCCACCCCCCCGTCTCGAGCCTTTTTGAGGTGTGTTTGATCGCCCTTACCGAAAGCAGAGGAGGAAAGGCGGGTTGGGGGGGGCAAAGTCCCGGCCAATGGGAGGAACGGATTTTGGGGTGGGGGGAGGAAAAGTAAATTTAAATAGAAGTGCAAACTGCCAAGCAACGGTTCGGGGGGAGCAGGGGGGAAAAATATTCATTTTTGATGTATTTATTTAAAAGATTTCCTCCTTTTTTAAAAATTCTTGATTTATTCTTAGGGAAACTTCACGCAGCCTCCCCTTTTTTTTGGCCTCTGAATGCACAAAATGCCGACTTTGTACTGTAATTCTTGCATCCCCACCCCCACCCTTTTCTTTCTCAAATCCCCAAAGCTTCTAATTTCAGGGTTGGGGGGAAAAATGGAGAAGAGAGAAAAGGTCTTGAGTTTGTTTGGCTTTTGAGCACTCTTGAGTGATCGGGTGGGGTTTTTTTTACAAAGGACAGATCCCTGCCCTGAGGAGCTTACAGTTTTTAAAAGAAATGTGGCACAGGTGAAGCAACAGAGGAGATGGAAGGGGAATGTTTCTGTAAAATACCTTGATAAATACCTTGTCTGCTGTTCTATGTCAAGCTTCCAGTTGATTGCAACAGCAGTAGCAAAAGTGACTGACCCCTGCATACCCAAAACATTAAGTGGTTATTTTTTACATTTCCAAAATGTTTGTTGGCCCTTTGCAAACTTGGTGTCTGGAAGCCACTTGGTTCTGTGCATCTCTCTAAAAATGTTCCCAGGAAGACTAAATATGATTGTGGAAAATTCGTTATTTCTGGCAGGCTCATTAGAGAGCTGGGTTCCGTGGTAGTTTGATGTGACTGTATCTAGTAGCAAAATATAAGTGTGTTCTGGGGAAAGGGTGAGCTTTACCCCCTGCTTCATGTGTCACATATTGGTGTCATTTATTCATTACTACTTTGTTTTAGTTGTAGATCTAAAACATTTCTTCTACGTAGGTTTTAAAATATCATGCACTGGACCCTGGTATGATTGTAATTTTAAGGAAAGCAGGAACTGTTGTTTTTATTGGGTAATTTGTTAAAACTAATTTCTGTTACCTAGGAATCCTGTTCAAGAACACTACATTTCTTTACCACTTCAGTTTTAGAGCTGGTTTTGCTTTAAAGTGGTGGCTTTTGGGGTGGAGTGGGGTATGTGGGTGGGCAACTTTTGTTCCTCCATATATTTTTAACTTCAGGTCCCATCATCCTTCATCTTGGGCTTTGCCAGCTAGTGCCAGAAATTCCTTGATCCTACTCTGAATGTCGAAATACTGTGTTGAAAGTCATAGCTCTTGGTGCAGCTTGTCTCTAAGGTTCGACGTTGGGTTCACAGAGTGTTTGGTGGCTGAAAAGAGGCTTCTGCAGAAAAAAACGTTTAAGGGGAGTTCCCCACCCCATTATATGACTATTGAGCAGTAGTTACCTAGCATCATTGTCTTGTCTTGTCCCCTTCCTGCCTTGTCAGGCTTGGTCTCTGTGCAGAAAAATTTGTTCAGTTACCCTTGGGTGGTTTGCTTGTAGTAGTTGCTCTTAGCTCGGGTTGAGCTGTTCATGTGAGGAAAAGAAAACGATTAACATGCTTCAGACTGTGTTTCCTGGTAGAGAGTCCAGTTGTTGTTTTTAATGGCTAAAATGAGGCCTTTTCTGGGCCACTGCTCTCCGTTCTATACAGCGTTTAAAGAGCTGGGACGTGCTGTAATAATAATATAGTTTTTTTCTGTTCAGTTTGTGCAGAAAGCTTTGTAGCAGGCACGCATGGGGGCTGCCCAAAGGTCTCTTTCTCGCCTGTCTTCTTGCTAAAGACTTTTGCACCTGCCTAACCGAACCCCTCATCCTGGCCTACAGTTCGCTGGCTCAGACCCCTCCAATCCCCCACTCTGGGGCATTTCTCTGGCATAAAAAGAGTCTGTGTCTGACCTGCTAGAAATCTCTCAAGCGTGATAAAATCTTGGCCTCTGCGGGATTAAAAAACCCAGATCTTAGAAATGGGTGGGAAGTGATCCCGTATTTTTAGTTGCCTCTTCTGAAGAAAGGGGGGGGGCTGTGGTTTATATTTATGAAGGCATCAATAGCCACAGAATTTGGGGAAAGTCTTTTTTTTTCTTTTGTACTCTTATTTCCAGATACTTTCCTGCCAGCCGTGTCAGCAGCTGCCCTGTATGAATTCTCTGGCTATGTCCCTGGAAATAAGTAACTTGAGGAAAGTTACTTATTGGGTGGGACTACAGGCTCACAGCCAGCCAGGTTCCTGACCCGGCTGGCTTTTTTAGAGGATCCTCTCTATAACCCCCACCCCAAAGCCACTTTCTCTCTCCAGGCCGTGGGCGGCTGGGCGCCGCTCCTTGTGTGTGGAATCAGCCGATGGGTGGCTGCGTGCAGCTTTTCCCCCTCTGGTGGCGAAAGTGTGGATGGGAAGGCCAAGTTGGTATTTACTTGCTCGGGGTTTGGCTGTTTTCAGGCGAGAAGCTGGGAGGAAGAAGCCAGAGCAGCAGCAGCAGGAGCTACGATGGCGCGGCTGGTGGCAGTTTGCAGAGACGGGGAAGAAGAATTTCCTTTCGAGAGGCGGCAGATCCCGCTCTACATTGATGACACCCTTACGGTGAGTCGGTGCCAGGGGGGCAGAGCTCCACCCGGGCAGGGTGCAAGGGGTGGCGTTTGAGCCCGAGGTGTTTTGCAATCCCAAAGCCAGCGCCCCCCCCCTTTTCCCACCCCAGCCTTCCTTTTCCACCGCTCTTCAAGCCAGCCGCCTTGGGCTCCGCTTTGCGAGGCCTCCCAGGAAGTGCCAGGGCTCAGCCTTGGGCCACAAAGCTTGCACACGGCTCCTGGAAACGCGCTTTCCCCCCTTCCCTCCGCTCGCCAGTGCTCGGGCACATACGTGCGCACACATGCAGTGGAAGGCGGTGGGGAGGGGGAACCCTCGCACCGAGACACACAGAAGGCCTAACTCAAAAATAATCGGAGCCATTTTGGAAGCTGGTGGCTGGGAGAAGCGGCCGGGCCTCTGGTGGTGGCGGTGGGGGGTTGCCATTAAAAAAAAAAAAAATTAAAAAGCCCCAGAGGCCAAGATTTCCTGGGTTTCCACCACCTTTCTCCGTCTCCCAAATTTCCAAATCAGTTCATGAACTTTGCAAGGTTGGGGGGCTCTGACTGTGCCTGTGCACGGGCTGTGTTTTCCTGGGATCGCCATGCATATTTTTTTTTCCTCTGGGCTGTGCATTCAACCCCTCTTGCAATGGTGTAAAAGGGAAATTGCACACTTTCCTTCATGTGGAGAGCAGTGGAGTTCCGCCTGCTTAATTTACTACTACCCAGGTTTCCTTGTTGCCTGAGCAATGTAATCTTTCCAGACTCCACCATGCAAGCGGGAAAACAAATCTGGGTTCTTCTTTTCGTACAGAAAGTTCTGTTCTGATCTTCAGCCTTTGGCAGGATACCCTAAAGAGGAATATTTCTGCCTTAGACCTGGGACTTTGGAATTGTTCTGGGTTTAAAAAAACCCCTCATTGCTGCAGGTTTTCCCCCTTAGCTTTTGGGAGAGGCATGTCTGTTTAATCTCTTCCCTCCTTCCCTCTTTTAGTGCTTTTGTTCTTGACAATGGAGTTCCTGATCTTTAGAATTTTCTTTTTTTCAGTGGTGGGAAGGGGTCTCTTCCTTTCCAACTTCTACCTGGCCATGAGACTACTTGGTTGGATTAAGGGAAGAAACCGGAATATTGGGTGGAGTCTGGCATTTGATTTAACCCAGGGTAATTTACTGTCTAAGGCATAGTAGCTTCTGGATCCTTTCCCCTATAGCTAAGCTACCTAGGGCCCAAAATCAGGATGTCACAACTGGCATCTGAAGCAAAAAAATAAATGAACGAAATGACATAAGATTCCACAAGCCGCACTGCTCCTCTGTGGCAGTGAAAATGCAATTAAAAAGACATCAACTAACTAGCAATTTGCTGCCCATTTTTTGCGAGCCAAAATCTGTTCCAGAGGTAATATCCTTTCTCTGACTAGTGGCAGGTCCGTCCTTTTAAATTACTGTCGCAGGAGGTAGGATTTTATTAGGAGAAACAAGATTCTCAAGTCATTCAGGTTCTTGAGATATGCCTTTGGAGAGCCTTATGGATCCCAACCGTGGGTCCCAAGATGTTCTTGGACTAGAACTCTCCCAGAAATCTTCACGACCAGCTGCGCTGGCCAGGATTTCTGGTAGTTGTGGTCCAAGAACATCTAGGGATCCCTAGGTTGGGGGCCACTGGGCTAGACAATACTTATTTATTATTCTTTATTTATTAGGGACATTTCTGATCTGCCTTTCCTTCAGTGAATGCATATGAGGTTCCTGGTTCTCCTCCTGCCCTCAAGTCCCCTTGTAAGGCGTCAACTCCCATCATTCCCAGTTTGTGAGATATGAGGAGGATGGGGTATATAGACCAGTGTGCCCATAGAGTGCCAAGTTCAAGGAGACTGTGCCAGAGTTAAGGCTCAGCTGTGATGCAGAGTCTTATTGAGACTTGTTATGCTTTTAGGGTAGCATTCATGGGAGGAGAAATTTTTTAAAAATCATGTCACTTCTTTGCATCATCCTTCACTCCATGATCTCAAGGTAGTGACTTTTGCATTTTCTTGGGTGTATGTTACTCACCTTTTGTCCATATGCTTTAAAGTAAATCTATTTCTTTAAGGTTCTGTCGTGTTCAGGCTGCCTCGGGGTTCCAAAATGGAAGCTCACAGGAGCGCTCTCCCCTCCTTGTTCTGTCTTTCTCCTTTAAGAAAAGCTTGGTCCTACTACTACTGAGGCTGGAATTTCCTTCCATCCTTACAAACACTGTCTCAGATCTCTCAGCCTCATGAAGTTGAGCATGTGATCGTTACATCGAGACCAGGAATGGGCTTATAGGATGTTATAGGATGTGACTCCCAACATACTAGATGTATCATTGCTAGGCTGATTAGCTAGATGAGGGGGTTTGTGGTCAGCCTTTTGACCAGTCCAATGGTCCTCAACGTTGGGCCTCCAGATGTTATTGAACTACAACTCCCAGAAGCCTTTGCCACCAACTCTGCTGGCCAGGATTTCTGGGAGTTGAAGTCCAAGAACATCTGGAGGCCCAAGGTTGGGGACCACTATGTGTTTTCGATTCCACATACAGTAGAGTCTTTCACCAACACAGATAAGGCAGACTCTGTAAGTTGTGTGTAGCTACAGATGGCCCTTGTGTGCCCCTCCAATGCTCCCAGCAATCCTCACCTCTTTTTAAAATGTTCCATATGCCCTCAAAGAGAAGGTGCGGCAGGTACTTAATTTTGCCATATTCTAGGGGAATCCCTCATTGAGGCTTTTGAATTGTGGTGCTGGAGGAGACTCTTGAGAGTCCGATGGACTGCAAGGAGAACAAACCTATCAGTTCTAAAGAAAATCAACCCTGAGTGCTCATTGGAAGGACAGATCCTGAAGCTGAGGCTCCGATACTTTGGCCATCTCATGAGAAGACTCCCTGGAAAAGACCCTGATTTTGGGAAAGTGTGAAGGCAAGAGGAGAAGGGGACAACAGAGGATGAGATGGTTGGACAGTGTCATTAAAGCGACCAACATGAATTTGACCCAACTCCGGGAGGCAGTGGAAGACAGGAGGGCCTGGCATTCTCTGGTTCATGGGGTCACGAAGAGTTGGACACGACTAAACAACAATAGGGGCATCCCTCATACTCCATCAATTTTTTAAAAAAAAAGATTTTGGCCACTAGAGGGTACAAGTGTTCTTTTCAGTTCAAAATATTTTTTTGTAAAAAAAACCTTTTGTGAAATGGTGGGCAAGGGTGCTGGTGCAGCCCTCCAGGGTCCACGGACCGGCTTCTCCCAACCACACATACCTGGATATTTGCTTTCCTCTGTTATACTATTTTAGTTGCCATATTAAAAAGCATTAAGTGAAAAGTGTTACTAACCTACGTATCAGTCCTTATGGCTGTTTCAAAGTAGTAGCTGTTGATTCTTCAGGTCTTTAAAATACTTCTGAGTTGAATTACCTTTCAAGGAAGTACGCAGGAGATAAATGCTGAAAATAAATAAAAACAAGGCAGTTAAGAGGGCTGTTTTTGTGAGTAAATTTCTGTAATGCTTGGTGTAATTTTTGTCAACTTTAGCCTTAGCTAGGTTCAGCAGTGGTTGTTTTCAACCAATAAATATTTAGGAAAAACATTGTGATGTGCATTAATATGTATTCTGGGATCCTTGAGCCCTAGACTGGTGCTTTTCTAGCTTGTGAGATAATCTAGTATTAATCAGAATGGCCTCTTATCTCTGCAACTGGCATCATTTGCCCACTGTTGCTGACGAACCTCTGGTGCAGGCAACGGTATCCATCCTCATTGCTCCCCATTTATGGGGTTTTTTAACAGACGTCCAGATTAAAAAGTGTTCTGCTCATATCCAGTGCCCCATAGTGCTTAAAGCACTCTCTGGGGAAGGTTTACAATTTAATTTTGCAGGCTACATATTGTCCCTCCAGCGAACTGAGTCCTCAATTTACAGACTTTGAAAGGATGGGTCAGCCTTGAGCCAGCTACCTGAATCTGCTAGGTTCGAACACAGGCCATGAGCAGAGTCTTGACTGTCTGCATTTTCAGAAAAGTCCTCTTTCTTTATTACCCATATATCCCACCCATCTAGAGTCAAGCCACTACTCTGAGCAGCTAACAACAAAGGAGCCTATAAGCCATCCATAGAAAACACACGGATCATTAAAAACAAGGAAAAAAAAGAAACCCTCAAAGGCAATGGCAAACTAAATTCAAGCTTAACAAAGGTTAAGAACCACTGATCTAGAGTCAAGCCACTACTCTGAGCAGTTAACAACAAAGGAGCCTATAAGCCATCCATAGAAAACACACGGATCATTAAAAATAACAAGAAAAAAAACCATCAAAGGCAATGGCAAACTAAATTCAAGCTCAATTTAGTTTGTACCAGAGCCAGCAAGAAAATCATAGGGGGAGGATATTTCTGAGGGCCGCTTAAAAAACCTCTGATTCTACTAGTTTCCTGAAGGTCAAGAGGAAGGGAGCCTCTGGCAGTGCGTTCCACAACATTAACATTTGTGTGTATTTATGCACACAACTCTTCCTAAATTGTGCTCTTTTTTTCTTTTGCAATCTTCTCAAACAGAATATGCTTTTTTGCACATTGCTTTGGCGAACATGTACAGCTGAAATCCAGTGGTAAGGCACAACTAGAAATGGTTGAATCAGTGGGAAGTGTATCGGCATTGACTCATCAGATCCCCACTGATTCAACGGGGTCTTTTCTAGTTGTGATTTGCTGCTGGATTTGAGCTGGTGCGTATCTGTGCCGTTGTACACAGGGTCCTGTGTCCATTTGATTTGGAGAATTCAGAAAAGAAAACAATCGGGTGGAATTCTCCCTGCCTGCCTGTTTGTGTACTGGCTCGGAAAGAGCCAATTAAATAAAGTTGCATCAAGATATGAACCCGAGAAATGTATCTCCCATTACTGTTCCTGGTAACATAGCTTCCAATATTTTTGTTTCCTCTGTTGGCGGGAGATCACAGTAGCTTCAGGACAGCAGGAGTTAATGGGATAAAGAAAATGAAAAGGATTTTTTTCCCCAGTAGAAATTCCACCCCATCAGAAACTATTTAAGATTTTTTTTAAAAAAAGAACCCCTTTCATTCCTGTGCAAGAGGGAGGTGGACCTTGGGTTACAGGTGTTGTATGTAGACCGAGGGCTGGCTGGACAGCTGCCGTGGTTTAGGTTTCTGGCTGCAGAGCCAGAGGTTGGCAGTTCGGTTCCCCACTGGGCCTTTAGGCAGCCTGTGTACCTTTGGGCAAACGGCACAGTCCCAGGGCACACCCCCCCCCCCCCAGAAAAGGGAATACTTCCGAGTACACTCTATCTAGGAAACTCTGAAAGGGGTCGCCATAAATCAGCATTGACTTGACCACACATGGTGGTTCTTATTAAGTAGACAAGGAATCCCAAGAAGTGGGTCATGCTGTGAAGAATGACCCACTGCAGTGAAGGAAATGCAGTAAACAGCCTTCCACTGGGTCAGAATCCTTGCCCATCTAATCCAGGATTGTAGTCTCAGGTTGGCAGTAACATTTGACAGAGCAAGCTCCTCTCAAGCAGCTGTTTCCTTAAGTGTGATGGACCCTTGGTTCTCCAGATGCTTTGGGGCATTCTTCCCTCAACCCCTTGCTGGTCACCATGCCGGCTGGAGCAGGTGGGGATTATAAAGTCCCAAGTCTCTCTAGAGCAGTGGTGCCCTGGAGGTTCTTGGGCTGCAGCTCCCCAACGCCTTCACTGCGAGTTGTGCTGGCCAAGATTTCTGGGAGTTGTAGTCCCGGAACATCTGGGGACTCAAGGTTGGGAACCAGTGCTCTAGAGCAGTGGGTCTTAACCTTTGTTACTCGGATGCTTTTGAACTGCAACTCCCAGAAACCCCAGTCAGGACAGCTGGTGGTGAAGGCTTCTGGGAGTTGCAGTCCAAAACTCCTGAGTAACCCAAGGTTAAGAACCAGTGCTCTAGAAGGCTTAAAGGTCCACCTCCTTGCCTCAGCCCCTACTGGCCCCTTTCACCTGGAGATCCTATCCACAGAATGTGGGGTTTTATGCATGTAGAACCCCATTTCCCCGGAGGTTGCATTTGGTCTCGGGTGGCCCTCTTTCTGGAGAGAGGAAGTGATCTGTTTAGGTACATGATGTGGGATGGTCTAATGTGGAAAACAGCTGCTGCCCATCTGGTTGCGACACACATTTTTTTAGACCTTATTGTATCGGTTGTTTAGGAAAGATAAGGCCATTGTGTGTTGCGAAGAGAGACCAAGACTGCCTGTAGTCCTTCTCCCGGGGAGAGAAATGTTCTGTCAAACCCAAGTTCACGCCTTTGGTTTGGATGATTCATTCTTGAATCTGTGACCTCTGACCTTTCAGGAGAGCAATGTTCTCCTTTGTAGAGGAAAGTTGAGGTTGGAAAAGTTCCTTTACGGTTGTTGTTGTTATTAGTCCTGGTAGGACTTGTTGACTTGCTTGTAACCCTAAGTGATGACACGGTTCCTTTGAGCTCCTGTTGGTGCTGCCCTTTCTCTGTATCAAGGCAGGATGCACCCCTCCACATGTTGCTGGACTACAAACCCCATCAGCCCTTGCAGCATAGCCGGTGACGACGGATTCTGGGAATCGGAGGCCAACAATGTCTTGAAGGACGGTGCTTTGCTCTACTTTGCCTTCGTTCTTACTTCGGACCCCTAAAGCCTCCCCTTTGCCCCATTTGCTCTGTAGTTTGACCCTTCATCCCTGTTTGTATTTCACACTCCCTCCTGCCTCCCTAAAAGTCCTGGAAATTTCAGATCCTTAATTTGCCCACCCTTCGTGTGGTGTGAGGAGCCCTGTCGGCTTCTCCATCTACCAGGAAGCGTTGCCACACCTTCCGCTGCCAATGCTGGTTGGTCTTCCTTGAAATCGCTTGCAGGTTCCATCTTGTGAGCAGGGAAACTAGACCTTGGAGTTGCTCGTTTTAATTAACACACTCCTCATAAATTGGCACTTCAGGAAAATTGACTTTCCCTTCTCCTCTGCAGGTCATTATGCTGCCACGGGTATGTGACGGCTGCCCTATAATTTTGTTGCTGTAATTAAGCTATTAGATCACTTATTCCTGTGTGTGGGGTCTTGCAACCCCTTTAACTTAAAAGCTGCGCTCGCCCTTTGAGTGTCATAGACGCTGCTGGCGGTAAAGGCGCTGTTGGGTTGCTGCTGGCGCTTTGTGAAATGACGTTGCCGAAGAGATGTCGAGGAATCAGTAACTGCAGGGAAAGAGGCTGGTTGGTTTTTAATGCATTGTGTTGCTCTAATCACTATTTGGCTAAATTTGAGATATTGCTGCGTGTATCATTTCGTCTATCCCGGTGGTTCCCAACCTTGGCTCCCCAAATGATGTTCTTGGACTGCAACTCCCAGAAGTCCTGGACAACGCAGCTCATGGTGAAGGCTTCTGGGAGTTTTAGTCCAAGAACTTCTGGGGACCCAAGGGTGGGAACCACGGTAGTAATGGGTAGTTGAACTCCTGTGTACCTTCTGTTTGCAAAGCCATACATTAGATATTGATGGGCACAAGGCTGTGTTATTTTGGGGGCATCGAGGGCTGCTGATGGACACGGGGATTTTTTTAGACTTCAGCTAGTAATGGATGTAATGGTTACTAGGATTTTGACCAGTGCTGGACTTTGGTGTGTGGGGTGTAAAAGCATCTAGATGTGTGATACATGGGGACAGAGGTGAAGCTACGGAATGGATAAGGAATGCAAAGATGTTTTGTGTTGCAAGAACACGGCACAGCAGGATACTACAGATTGTTGAAAGCAGCAGGAAAAGAGGAAGACCCAATACAAGATGGATTGACTCCCTAAAGGAAGCCACAAGCTTGAGTTCGCAAGAGCTGAGCAGGGGGGCTAAGGATGGGGCATTTTGGATGCCACTCATAGAGTCAGTGTAAGTCAGAGGCATCTTGATGACATACAACAACAACAACAACAACAACGAATTGTTCAGTTTGCTTCAGAGACCAGAGATCATTGTCTGCCCGTGAAGTTGGCTTGTGGCTTCAGCTCCTCTCAGAGGGATAACCAGTGTGTTTTTGTTCTTGCGCAGATGGTGATGGAGTTTCCGGACAACATGTTAAACCTTGATGGACATCAGAATAATGGAGCTCAATTAAAGCAGTTCATTCAGGTACTGCTTTAATTCATTCTTGTCGTGCATGTCAGAATTCAAGAAGCATGTGCTCCAGTGATGGTCGTTTAGGAAAAAGGGAGAAGAAGCTTAAAAGAGAAATGTCTGTGGAGTAAGGAAAGCGGTGAAGGGGGTCCACTCAAGCTGAACTTCCAGTGGGAAGTACTTTCAGTAGAAGGGCAAGCCTCTTATGGACCTCTGGAGGTTGGTGAACTGGAATTCCCATCACTTCCCATCAGCATAGCCAGTGGTGAAGGATGAGGGTAGTTGTCGTCCCAGCAACACCTGTAAGGTGGCAAGTTGCCCCACCTCTGTTGTTGATCATACTGTGCCAAGTGGGCTAAAGGTCCAACCAGCCCTAAATAAATTGAATTCTAATGGTCCTGTCTGTCTTAACAGTGGTTCCCTGGCCAGGGTTTGTGGGAGTTGTAGTCCAAGACCTCTGGGCACCCAAGTTTGGGAACCACTAGTCTAAAACACAATTAATTCTATCAGTTTTGGATTCCTTTGCTCCTTCCAGTACCTTCCTGAACGTTGTTTGTGATCATTGTTTCCTTGGTGCGGTTAAAAAACAGCTTTTGGTACCACCTAGCCTGTGAACGCCTTCTGAGAAGCTCACTTTTGGGGCAGAGATGTGGGTCCCAGAGCTCTAAAAAGTTACTTTTTGGAGGCTAGCCTGGGTGTTGGTGGTCCAGAAAGTAATTTTTTTCCAAGGTCTGGTCTGTCCTGGAGAGGGCCTTTTTTTAGTGGCTGCTTCAGGGGCGTGGGGCTGCTTTTCATGGGAAGCTAAGGTGGCTCCCATCCTTCTGCTGTTAGCACAAATCCTTCCCTAGATAAGCCATTTGGCAATTGAACAGTCTGTAGGGAAAGAGCTGCACTTCGTGGGGGTGGAAAGCAAGCAAAGTATATATTTTATTCCCTGGTCTTTTATCATTGCTGTGCTGTGTGTTCCAGTGGGATGGTACCTTGTAAAGTAACTAAACGAACGTTTCCCCCTCCTCAGCGGCATAGCATGCTGAAGCAGCAGGACCTGAATATCGCCATGATGGTGACCTCGCGGGAAGTCTTGAGCGCGCTCTCTCAGCTCGTCCCCTGCGTCGGCTGCCGGCGCAGCGTGGAGCGCCTGTTTTCCCAGCTCGTGGAGTCGGGGAATCCTGCCCTGGAGCCCCTGACGGTCGGGTCGAAGGGCGTCCTCTCCGTGACTCCGAGCTGCATGCGAGATGCAAAGAAGCTTTACACGCTCTTCTACGTGCATGGGTAAGGTCTGAGGCCGAGGGTGGCCAACTTGCCCTTTTTTGGAATCCAGAGAGTTGAGATTTGAAAGAAAAAAATAAAAGGAACTTTCTCTATCTCTGATGAGATGGGGAATTAACTATCCGATTTGAGATTTCCAGAAATAATTGTTCCAAACTCTGGTTTGGAGGAAAGGGTTGGTCAGGAGCCACCAAGAGAAAGCATCTGTCAACCCAGATTGAGGTAAACAAACAGGGACTACAGCTCCCATGATCTCTCACCCTAGGCCAAGTTGGCTATGGTTGATTGGAGTGATTGTCCAAAACATATGGGAAAGTTGCAGGCAGGACCTATGAGCTTAGTAATGGAGCAACCACTCTGCCTTCAGAAGGCCCCAGGTTCAACTTTCAGGATTTGCAGATAGAGATGGCAGTGATTTCGGCCCAAAACCCAGGACGGTCGTTGCTGCCGGTCAGAGGCGGCAGTAGAGGGCTGGATGGATCAATACCCTGGCTCACCGTCAGGCAGCTTTCTGTGTTCTTGTAAAAGCACCGCATAGCCTACGGTGCTTAATCAATGAAAAGAGTTCTGCTGGATATCTCAGTGGTTTAGGTCTCTGGCTGCGAGTCCAGAGGTTGGGAGTTCGATTCCTCCACAGGGTCTCTTTAACAGGGGCTGGACTCCATCATCAGTCGGGTCCCTTCCGGCTCTGCAGTTCCAGGATGATGATTTGTTAAAGAAGAGTGGCAGGGAATTAGGAGACACCCAAATACTGTCCATGTGTTCAGCCACCCGTTGAAGAGTAAACCTGTTGAATGTTACACTGAGCAGGACGTAGTGACAGCCGGCAGGCTCCTGTGTTGTCCTGTCTTTCTTACTGGCCTGCCTTTTTTTACCCTCTCAAAGGTCCAAATTAAACGAAATGATAGATGCAATTCCGAAAAGTAAGAAGAACAAAAGATGCCAGCTGCACTCCTTGGATACACACAAGCCTAAACCTTTGGGGTAAGCATTTTAAAAATAACAATAATTGCACTTGTAAATAACAAGGCGTCGTGAGACTCCTGGGTGACAGGGCGGAGAATCTTCCCGAAGTACGGCTGTATTCGTAGACTAACAGAAGTGGAGCCAAAAAGTAGAAATTTGGGGTAGCCGAAATAGTGTTTGTTTGGTTCTCGAAGTCTAAGAAGGCAAGCTTGAAAACCAGGCTTAGAAATCAGAGATGGGCAGATTGTTTCCCGCTTCCACCCAGAGGTTGGTTGCTCCTCCTATAGGTGGAATGTCTTCCTAGATTGCCTGGCCGGGATTTGTTTTAGCGACGATGACAACAGAGTCAAACAGAACAAAAAACACTAAGGAGTTGGTATTGTGGACCCACCCAAAGCCAGGGAGAGCCAATTTCAGAGATGGGCTTATGCCGTTCTCTTCGATGAAGGCAGCGTTAATAAGAACGTGCCCAGTTATCATGTTGTGCTTGGAATTTACATCCCAGCCCGTAAGAAACTGACCGTCGAGGGCGGTAAAGCAAAGGAAAAAATCAAAGTGTGCTGCTTATGTGCTGCCCCATAGTGCTTAAAGCAGTTTCTGGATGATTCACAATTTAATTGTGCAGGGTACATTATTGTGTTCCCCCACCCCTCCCCAGTGAGCTGGGTACTCATTTTACCACCCTCAGAAGGATGGAAGGTTGCATCAACCTTATGCCGGCTAACTGAGTCCGCCAGGATCGAACTCAGGTTGTGAGTAGAGTCTTCACTGCAGTACTGCAGTTTAACCACTGCGCCACAAGGCTAGGGCCAGGGAAGTTCCCCAGCTTACTTTCTTAGGTGAGGTGGCACAAAAAAGAAGAGGAAAAGAGAAGAAAAAGAAGCTTAGAACTAGTCCAGGCATTTTGGTCAAGAGGTGTCAGCTCAGCCTACGACATTACAGGCCTGGCACCATGATTATGGGTGCAAGGGATTTCCCCCCTCCTCTTAATTCTGTAGTCCTTCTGTAGTTCATCCTCACTACTTATTTAACATGCTGCTTTTCCTGCTTTGAAAGGGGACTTTAACTGAGTATGTGTTGCATTTTCTTTTCCTGGTTGAAACTGAGTCTCTTATATCATGGCTGAAATCCTGTTGGTATAACATACACTGCATAAGGCTGATGCCATTGCCATCTGTGGTGGTTTTTTTAAAAAAATCGAACATTTCTGATTTCTGCCCCAAGGCTCCTGTGTCATCTTTTTAATTGTTGGGAAGCCATGGGGCAGAGGGAAGGGCTTTACTTACTGAAATTTGCTGTCGCTGCTAAAGTGATCCCACTAGCAGTGATTTTGGAAATGAAAAGACTTCCTCCTCCTGTTTTGCGGCTTCCAGGTTTTCTTGGTGAGAAACAGGTTCACACCAGAGCCTTGGAAGCTTTGGGACAGGAATTAGAAATGTTTTCTTTAAAAAATTATATCTGCAGCTTCTGATGTCATCAGCCTTAAGCGGAGTCACTTGTGCCAATAGGATTTTAGTCAGCAGGTTTTAGCAGCAGAATGCTGTGGGCAATGGGAGGCCATGGGTCAGGGAGAGAGATGCACAGTTGCCTTTACATAGTTATTAAAATTTCTTTTGACATGATATATGCTCCAGCGAAGGGAATGGTAGTGCCCCGAGTACAGAGAAGTTAGGTGCAGATAAGAGAAGTAGTGAAGACGAGAGGAAGGAGAACAGGTGTAGGATCACATTCGGCTACGGACCCTTCCGGGGAACTGCAAGGTAAATGGGGCCGGGAAGTTTGTTCTAATGGCTCAAATTAGATACAAGTCCACTTAGGCCAGGGTGGGCCTCTTTGGTAGGTCTGGAGATCTGTTGTGATCAGCGGTGTATGTGTCTTGTGCTTTTGGATGACCGGGACCAGAATTCCACAGGCGATCTGGCCTGCTGGTGTCTGGGAGTTGTAATTCAATAACACAGCTGTGCACTTCTGTGATGGTGTTCCCCCTGAGAGCTGCTGTGGGGAAGATCAGCCCGGTGTTCCTCACCCTCTATTTTCCATACTACTAATGAGTGGAATGTCACTTACAGATCTGAGAAAAAAACAGGACTCTCCTGTTAAAACTTCTTTATGTTGAAAACTTTATTTTTGGTGGGGGAGGATTCCAGAGTGAATCCAAGGGGTGCAGAACATTTCCCCATGGGGCCATGTGTTGCCCATTCTTGTTCTAGGAAGACATGGATTTAAAACACCAACCAGGCTATTGAAAGCCAGCAACCATTAAACCAGGAAACAAAAATTGAGTAATAAAACTTTAAAGTTCCAACCCACCAAGCCCAAAGCAGGTAAACAGGACAGGAATTGCCTAAGCGAAGAATCTAGCACACACCGCAGAGGCTAAAACAGGATCTGTTTCAGAGCCTGAAGGATTTTTTTAAAATTGCATCACTTGATCCAGACAGGAAAATAATGCAGGCAACAAGTGATCAAGTTTCATAACCAGATGGCCACCACTGAAAAGGCTCTGCCCCCCCCCTTGTCGCCAGCCTTCAGATACCCAATTTGTGGGGTGTTCAGGGGAACGCTTGCATAGATGACCTTAAGGCACTTGAAGGGAGGGGAGAAGGGACAGAAGAAGTCCTTGGACTACAACTTCCAGAATCCACATTACCCATGTTGAGGGGGGATTTTGGAAGCTGTAGTCCCCCTCCCCCAAATAACTTTTCTCAGCTCTTACCAGATCACAAGCCATGTACAGCTTCATAGTGAGAATAGGGAACCTGTGGTCCTCCACATGTTTGCTGGATTCCAGTTCCCATCGTCCCTCACCCTTCAAATCAGAATTGGAGTTCAACTTCTGGAGGGCCACCAGTTTCCACAGAGATTGAAACTTGACAGTTTGAAAAGGACGTGGACGTATCTGAGTTAAGCATCATGGTCTGTTGAGTGTATTTGATGATGTTGGGTGTTACATGTGGGGGAGGCTCTGTTTCATTAACCTAATCTATTTCCCCCCCCCCGACTCCACAGGGGTTGCTGGATGGATGTATGGGAGCTGATGTCCCAAGAATGCAGGGACGAGGTTGTCTTAATTGACTCTAGCTGCCTTCTAGAGACCTTAGAAACATACCTGCGAAAACACAGGTGAGCAGCCCAGGTGGTAAGCGGCGCCTTCCTTTTGTCCCTTAGGCCACCAGTTGATCCCCTGCCTGGTTAGGGAAGGAACGCAAAGAAATCTCTCCCCTGTTTGGGTAAGATTTGGTTTTCAAGAGGCGGATTCATGGAGTGGAAGGGAACTCCCAACGCAGAGGTACTGTCCCGGGCTTTTAGGAGGTACCTTCTGACAGGTAGCTACCCCACGAAGGATGTAGGGCTTTTCCTGCCTTGTTACAAAGTCTATCTAAGAACTGCTTTGCTGGCTGAAAGGAAGGACAGAACGTACTTCATGCCATATACCAAATCCAGCCGAACTAGTGGTTTCATCTTACTCCCAACAGTGGGGAAGAGCCAGGGAGTTCAGGAAGAGCATCCGGCCATTTCTTGCTTTTGTCCTGCTTGCTCTTCCCAGATTTGCCACTGAAGGCCATTGTCTCGCTCTGCCCAACGGTAGGGCCTGCTTGGCTGAGTGAAAGGGGCCAGGGGAGCTGTGCTTGCTTTGATTTTATACCCGATGCCACGGGTTGTGTCCGTGGCAAACACAGCAATCAATGCTCCAAACTGGAGGAGATGGGTTACTGATGCTGACTGGCTGGGAATTATGGGAGCTGTAGTCCAAGCAACTAAGTTTCCCAACTCCTGCCTTTTTGCCCCTTCTTCCCCCCCCCCGACGTTGCAACAGATTTTGCACCGACTGCAAGAACAAAGTTCTGCGGGCCTACACCATCCTCATCGGTGAGCTGGACTGCAGCAAGGAGAAAGGCTACTGCGCGGCGCTCTACGAGGGGCTGCGCTGCTGCCCGCACGAGCGGCACATCCACGTCTGCTGCGAGACCGACTTCATTGCCCACCTCCTCGGCCGCGCCGAACCCGAGTTCGCAGGAGGGTATGAGTATGTAATTTGCTAGAGTGGGCTGTCTAGCGTTTTTGCTTCCTTTAAAGTAACATCAACAGCATGGACCGCAAATTGGTGATTTGAATGTGTATTTCAGCCGCAGGATACGTGGTGTATCGATGTGCTCGTCTCTGGTTCTCCCTTCCCTGCTCGCTTTGGGCAGGAAAGCTGACTTGGGGGAAACTTCAATACAAGGACAGAGGCACAGGATGTGCCCCGGCACCCCTGTTCCCACGGGCAGCACCCCACCTTGTTTCTCTTAAAAAGACCCCCCCTCTGAGTCTTTTCACTCTTTCACCATTTTGTGGACCCTACCTTCGTTGGGGCGTGACGTGGTGGGCTCTTAGAATAAAACAGAATTGGGTGGGTGGGTGGATGGGCAGGGTCCCTCTGATACTTCTGAAGCCCTGGAGGTTGCCCATCCTTATAGAGACAAAGAAATGGAGGCAGGGAGTAGCTTTCTTGATTTTTCATTTCTAACAGATACCGTATTCCAGTTATGGAATTTTTCCACTCTTTGCTGTAGGGGGAGGGTCTGATCTTCTTAAATTTTCTTGTATTATTATGTGTATATTCTGCATTTTGTTCAAGGCGGTTCAGTGTGGGGTTCTCTTCTTCCCACCACATTTTTTTTCCCGCCTGACAGCCCTAGACTAGGAGAAGAGAATAGGGACTCCCCCTATAGTCACACACTAGATCAGCAGTTCCCAGCCTGGGGTCCCCAGATGTTCTTGGAGTACCACTCCCAGAAATCCCGGCCAGCACAGCGAGTGGTGAAGGGTTCTGGGAGTTGCAGTCCAAGAACATCTGGGGAACCAAGATTGGGAACCAATGGCTTAGATCTTCATCACTCCCCAGTCTTAATCTGGGAATGGGAGGGGTTTTGCAAAATCTAATGAAGAACAATGTTATTTTATTTTTTAAAAAAATCTACTTCCGTCTGAGGGCTTTCTCCCCATAATGTGATCAAAAGAAGTTAAATATGTTCCCCTGAAACACATCAATGATTCCAGCCTTTGTCCCAAATCCAAGTGGAGTTGGACCCATTGAGTTGCTGGTCCTTATGCAAGTGGAATCGATTTGATGGATCTGCTCTTCTTGAAACTAGCTATAGGACTTAGGCCGCTGTGTCCATTCAAGGGGCCGTTGGGCTAGTGACTGAAAGTACAATGAACTATCAAGCTATAAAGGACAATAACAATAATTCATTTTCCTTAAAAAGCCACCTGTTTATCTAAAATCTCATCGGCACTTTTCCTTTTCTACCCAAGCAAGCTAGCGAAATGCTAAATCACCATGTTGGTTCTACTTATGTGTTGGTCTTTTCTTTTTCATGGGTTCCAGTCGCCTTCCATTTCCCCTGACCTCCCCCTCTCAGGTTCAATTGAGAAACATACTTTTGGGGTGGAAAGAATTGATCAAAGCCAAAATCCTGTTGTGTTTTATCCTGCATAGATACGTACAGGTCATAGAATGTGTCCCATTTTGTGAGCTCTCTTGAATGGAAAAAGTGCCCGAAAAATACAAAACTGGAAACCACTCTGATGACGATGTGTGCCTTCTGGGGAATTTGGTCCCCAGGAAGGGCCTCATTTCTTTGCTAGTGGAATGGCTTTTCTCCCAGCAGGTTCTACCTGAGATTTGGGTCTTGGGCTTCCTCCTCCATTTCCACACCACACCACAGCTCAGTCTATTCTGTTGTGGTGTTTTAAGGGAATTGGAGTGGTTGAACTGAGAAAGAAGTGGCTGAGATGTCCATTAGGAGCAGTCTCCCTAAACCTGGTTCCACCACAAAGTGTCCGTGATTCCACCTTGGTCTCCCGAAAGTTTGGGTCAAGGAGCTTGCCCAAAACTTGTGGGTATCTTGAGTCTCCGTAGCACATTGTTCCTTATTTGGGTGATGCCATGAATGTAACCCGTCAACATGACACTCTATGCCTCCAGGAGAAGAGAGAGACATGCCAAAACCATAGACATCGCTCAAGAGGAGGTTCTCACCTGCCTAGGCATCCACCTTTACGAACGGCTGCACCGCATCTGGCAGAAGCTCCGGGCGGAGGAACAGACGTGGCAGATGCTCTTCTGTCTGGGTGTCGATGCCCTGCGTAAAAGCTTTGAGGTACAAGCACTTCTGTGAATGCACATGAAGGATCATGTTGTTTTTTTTCTGATGGGAGGGCATGGTCTATGGCGGTTGATCTATGTCTCCTCCTGGTGTGTGAAGAAGAGAAACAACGCCTTCCTGCTCTGTGTTGCTGAGGAGGACGGGGAATTTTATGTCACTTTGGATACCGTTCTTGCATTGACAAGAACAAGGTTTTGCACAGATGTCCCAAATCGCCCCAGACTTAGAGGGTTGCAGCTTCGAAGCTCTCGATAGGTTGCTCGCATCTTTCTTAACCACTATCCAGTCCTGTGTGGCTGGGTCCTTTTCCTCCCCAAGCGGAAGGGGCAGTGAGGCCATTTTGGGCAAATTACAGAGGCAAATTACAGAGAAGGATGTAACAAAAGCAGGTATCCTAGTTGAGGGTTGTTTGTGCAAATGGGGGCCCTTTTGCATTTTGCACGGAGTTTGTGCAGAATGCCACTGCAAGAGCTCCATCAACTCCCTTTGCCGTCCTCACTGGCGTGGCCCCAGATGCAAAGTGGGGCCGGTGTCTGCTCTGAGGGGTCCAGCCTGAGTGTTTCCTGTTTCCTTGCAGATGGCCGTTGAAAGAGTGCAAGGCATCAGCCGTCTGGAGCAGCTGTGCGAGGAGTTTTCCGAAGAGGAGCGAGTGCGGGAGCTCAAGCAGGAGAAGAAGCGGCAGAAGCGAAAGAACAGAAGGAAAAATAAGTGTGCCTGTGAACCCCCTGCTCCCTTGCAAGTGGGAGCAGAAGAGAAGGAGGCGAGGCAGGAGAAGGTATTTGGGTTCTCCTCCCCACGGAGTCCCACTGGGTGACCCTCAGCCACTGAAGCACCCTCTCGGCCTGACCTAGCTTGTTTGGTTTTTCTGGGGAGAGCATTTTAGTGGGGAGGAGATGCACGGTGGCCCTTCTAGGGTTTTCAAGGTGTAAAGGATCTAGAAGTGGGTCATCAGTCCTTCAGGGGTGCCCTGGGGCCACCGTGCAGCTTGCCCAAGGCTACACAGGCGGCCGGGCACATGACCCAACCTCTGCACATGCTTCAGGGGACCTTGCCTGCCTCTTCTCCTAAGAGACATCGTGGCCATTTGAGCTCCTGGCCCCTGGCTCTGCAGCTTGGGTGCTCCAACCTACCAAGCTATGCCAGGAAAACTGGGATGTTCCTCTTGACTTGTCAGATAAATAGGCTCAGCCACAGGGGTCTCTTTCTAGATGGAAAGTGTGGTGTGTTTGAATGGGGATAGGCGCTTTTTCCAACTTCATGACCTGTGAACGATTCCATACGTAGACCTGTTGCCCAAGGCAGTAGGGCTGGTAGTCAGGGAGAATGGGTGTTGTAGTCCAAAGACTACAACTTCGTAGTCCAAAGAGGAGGGGAGGGTATCAGGATGTGGAATCCCCAGTTGGAACGCTGGGTTTAGGGCTAAGGAAACGTGGATTCAAAATCTCATCAAGATGTGAAATCTCTTTGAATTACAAAAATACCTTGTGTAAGAATTTCCTCTCAAAGGTTGGCATAGCAGAATAAAAAGGAAGGGGGGACCTCAGACCATTTGCTTGTCCCAACTAGAGGAGACCCGTGGAATCAGTAGGGTTTGTCTGAGTATGGGCTTGATTGTTCAGCTGTCGATTCAGTGGGTCAGGTGTCGAGGTTCGTTCAATGTAGGCTGTGTATTGTGATGTAGGTTTGTTACAGGAGGTTCCCCCTGCCCCGCACAGAAGTGGCTTGCTCCTTTAACAAAAGGAATAAAAATAAATAAGAAGAGATCTTCTTATCAGCTCCCTGTCTCCAAGATCCACCTCCGAAAGCGAACAACAAAATTTCTCCAGTGCCCTTTTTAATTCAGGCACACAAACATGCATCGCCCGGCGCATGCAGGCACCTCGTCTCTTGTCTGTCCCTCTCTGTCACCCTTCATGCGTCTCTGCTTTCACTCTCTTTGCAGGAAAATTTCTTGGAAAGTGGCTGCAGAGCCTGTGGCGGCGCAGAGGAGCGGAGCGACTGTGTTGAGGTCATTGTCACCAGCGAGAACACTTCTTGCTCATGTCCTGCTGGTGGTGCTCTGCTGGGTTCGCCAAAAATAAAGAAAGGTGTGTGAAGCTGGCCAGGTTGTTTCCCCCCCCATAACAAACAGCAAAATTCCGAGTGTTCTTCGTTGTAGCTTCTGAGAGCAGCTTTCTTAGCTTTGCTAAAACATCCGTGTATTCCAACCACAGCTTAGAGAAGTTCCTTTTTTGAACTACTCCTGAGCCATCATGAGTTCTTGAGAGGGCTCCTCAGAAAGGTGTGGGAAGACGAAACACAGTCGGATGGCAACGAAGTGAATACACGGATACCGATTTTGTGGATAAGCAGATCCGACTGTATTTCTGAAAATGCACCTTGACTTAGACGTGGTATATCTTTTCTCTGCACTTGAAAAGGTTCATTTATAGCAGGGGTGGTGGTGGTTTCTTGCTTCCCGTCAAGAAACCTTATTGGACTAGCTCTCGTGCAATTTTGTTAAATGCCCCAAAGACTTGCAATTTAAAAAGTCGCATGATACGAGGAAAAAGGGCTGAGGAGGGAAGGGGGGGAAAGCAGCCGTTGTCCAGCAGGGTTGGAATAACTTTGCCTGCCACTTTGGCTCTCACCATTGTGCATTGCTAGGCATGGCAGTAGGGGCGGAAGGCCCGAGGGAGGTGGCCTCAAAATCTCAGTTATTTCTAGCAAACACAGTTTTTTTTTGAGAGAGAAAGAGAGGAAATGAAAGGAAAAAAAGGACCTGTAGGAATTTTTGTCTGTGCTTACAGTTACCCAAAGAAAAACACTTATGTGTTATAATAACCATGGTTTATTGTTACTAGCATGAGTCTAGTCTTGGCTTCTTCACTGGGTCAGCCTTCACCTTTTAATTTTTTTTAATTTTTTTTGCTGGGAATTCATCCTTTCATTTCCAACCTTAGTTATTCACATTTCATTGTTAAGCCCAACCTCTTTCCTCTGGTTAAACTTAAACTGTGGTTTGTTCCGAACAAGCCAACTCCATAAACCATGGGTTGTGAAGTCGGCTTGTTTCAAATCAACCGTAGTTAAGATTAGTTGTGATGATTTGCAGTTTCAGAACACAAAAGGGTACGTTTAACCAATGCCAAAAACACACTTTAATTCTTTGTAGCTGGGCCAGGAAAGTTGGGTAGATGGAGCACATGAACCCTGGTTAAAATTGTCTGGTTATTAGAATTGTGAAATACAGTATATCATGATGTGTAAAAGGAGGTAGTGAGACCTCAAAGTCTGTTTTCAGAGAACTTCCATTAACAGAGGCCTTAAATATCAGTTTGGGATGTGTTTCTGTGTTTTGTGACATAAAACTCCAATCTTTGCTGCCTTTATTCTGTTCCCCTAAGCAACCGTTTCTCGTCCTGACATCCTTCTAGGTTTATCTGCCCATTGTAACGGCAGTGACTGTGGCTATTCCTCCAGCATGGAGGGCAGTGAGACAGGATCACGGGAGGGCTCGGACATTGCCTGCACTGAAGGAATTTGCAACCACGATGAAAACGGTAAGCGGGGAGCCGCCCTCCCTCGCCCCCTTCTCCCAGTGCTCTGAATGAACTTATGCCCCCAAGAGAACCTTCTCCCCTGATTGTTTGTGGCACAGAGAGCCTTTTCCATCTTCGTAGTTCCCTCAACTGGTGGACCGTCCATCCCCCTAGAGCAGTGCTGCTTAGCCTGGGGTCCCCAGAGGATCTTGGACTACAACTCCCAGAAATCCTGGCTAGTGATGAAGGTTTCTGGACTTTTTAGTCTACGAACATCTGGGGACCCACCCAAGGTTGCAAACCACTGCTCTTGCCGAAGCCCCAACCAACATAGCCAAGGATACGGGATGGTGGGCACCCTGAAGGCCAGAGGGCTCCTTGAATTTGCCCCTCTGCGACTCCTCCTTACCTCTTGATCCTCTTTTCCTGGAGCTTGGCTCACGTGAAGGAAGCGGCCGCTGGGCCCTTCCTCGGCCAGACCCTGATTTGAGGGTCCTCTCTTGCAGGCGACGACCCTTGCATCCACCGCTGCGAAGACAAAGAGGAAGATGGGGACAGTTGCTTGGAGTGCTGGGCGAACGCCGAAGACAGCAGCCTGAAAGGGAAGAACAAGAAGAAGAAAAAGAAAAATAAGAAGTGTGAGGCCGAGCATGTAAGCGCGGGGGTTCGAGGACCTCTGTCTTGAGGGGAATCTCAGGGGCTCGGAAAAGGTTTTCCTCTTCCCTCGGCTTGCAGCTGAAGGGCTGACACATTCCGCTGATCCACGTGTCTGTTGTGAAGCCCCGTTCAAGCACCTGTTGGAGAAAGAGATCATGACTCTCTCAGCCATAGGTGACCAATAAATATAAATACGGAAACCTCCTTTATGTCAAGTCATGGGATTTGTCAGGCAGAGAAAGCAGCTTGGGTTAGGCCCCCCGAGATCATTTTTAGCTGGAGATGCTGGAGGTTCACGTCTGGAGCTAGTTGCGATATATCCTGCCACACGCCAGTACTTCAAAGGATTCTGGCCACGGATGCGAAGGGGGGGCCCTTGTTTTGGTGGACGGGAGAGGCCGAGGGTGGGAGGGAAACCGGAGTTTACCCTCCAGCACAGAACCAGATCTCTTCTCTTCCCAGGACTTCGCGTCCTGCTTGTTTTTGAGCAATTTAGGGGGAATCGTGCAGAGTGCCTTTATGTGTTTAAACGGGAGCATGGGACTCCTGATTCCCAGAAGCTGTAAGCCAACCAGGCTAACGGTTGGAAGCTCTGGTTGGGATGGAGGGGGGGGCGGGAGTGGCTTGCCACAGCATTCATCTTGACCCTGGCATGTCTTTCAGAGTCAACAGCTGGGGAGCTGCCTTGTCGAGATGCGTAATCACGAGACCTCGGGCACTGCCGCCACCCACACAGAGTTCCACCGGGACAAGACTAAAGACCCGCACGCCGAAGCGTGTTGCCGCACAGAAAAGGCAGGGCAGCCAGTGCCTTGGTCGGAGCGCAGGAAGATGGTGCCACCCTGCGCGAATCCTCCAGAGACAGCCACCGACTCCGGGAAGGGTGCAAAAAGCTTGGTGGAGCTCCTTGTAAGTCAACAGGGAGGGGAGGGGTGTCCAGAGCCCACAGAGGCAAGAACAGATGACTGAAGGATCATGGGGGCTGTAGTCCAGATAATCTGCAGGGAACCCTCCTGATTACATATTTGACTAGGGGTGATTCTCCAGACCAAGATCAGGGAGCCGTGGGGCGGATAATCTGCAGGGAACCCTCCTGAGCTCCAGACCAAGATCAGGGAGCCGTGGGGCCGATTGCCCTCCCGAGTTCCCCATGTGGTTAGACCCCTTTTCCTGTATCACTACCTCTCTGTGTTCTCCCAGATCTTGTACAGGTCTGTCCCTTCCTTCCAGAAAGATTGAAACGGTTCTCCTGAAGCTTAATTATTGATAGGAAAGAATGTTAAGGTAGACTCTGCTGGTATTTGGGTTCCTGCTCTTTTTCTGTGGCTCCACCCACCTGGAATGTTACCCCCTCTGAACCTCTAATTTGGTCCTTAGCCTGCAAGTGCTTTCGCACTGCTAGTGTAAAAGGTTTGAAGACGGGAAATTACCGTAGTTCAACTCAATTAAATCCAAGATGAAAGCAGGAGGTATTGGAAGCTTTCTTGCATTCTGTTCCACCCCTGTTAACCTTTTTTGCCCCCCAGGATGAATCTGAATGCACTTCTGACGACGAAATGTTCATCTCGCAAGATGAGATCCAGTCCTTTATGGCGAACAACAAGTCTTTCTACAGCAATAGAGAACAATACCGACAGCACCTGAAGGAGAAATTTAACAAATACTGCCGTTTGAATGATCACAAGGGGCCAGTGTGCAGTGGCTGGTTAACAACAGCGGGAGCAAACTAAACCCAATAAAATTAGTTGTCTTTCAATGAAATTTTGAAGATGCGTACTGCGCCTTTTCTCTGTTCAGAAGGGGGGGGAAAAGAACCCTTTCTTTAGCAACTAAACTAAATCTTACTTTTTTAAAAAAAAGCAAAATCAACGTGGCTGTTTTCTTTCCTGTTTTCCCTTTTTTCCCCTTTGCAGGAGGCTGGTGGAGTTAATACCTTTAATTTCTGATCTTTTCCCCGCCTCCTTTCTGGCTTTCATCTTTAGTTGTCGTTTTGGTTTTTTTTTTTTTTTTACCAGATTGAGGGCAAACCTAGGCTTTCATAAATCAAGCCCACCTCTCCTTCTCTCTTCCTCTCTTTCCTTTCATTTAATGTTTCTCTTAACTGTGACACTTAACCAACAAAAAACAAAAAAATACCAACCCTACAAACTTAGTGGCAAAAGTAATGTTGTACTTATAATTCTGTACAGAAATGACAAATGAGCTCGAGATTTTACAAAGTAGACATCCATTTGCAAAAGAGAAATTGTTCTGGATGTAATATGTTGAAGCGCAATGTGCAAAATTTAAAAATAAAGAATATTTATTAATATGCATAGTAAAACAAAAAGTGTGCATGTTTCTACTAAGGGATAACAGTCCTTATCATCAAATGGTTTTGAAATGGCTTGCAATGCAGTGGTAACTTCCAGGAGTTAATTTAAAAAAAAAAACTCACTATATCTGAGCTGGCTGGATAACTCAGTGGTTAAGGTCTCTGGCTGCATAGCCAGAGGTTGGGAGTTTGATCCCCCCCCCCCCCGGGGCCTCCGGGCAGAAGACCGGGGCTTGGGCCGGCTGCAGAACGGACTTGACGCCAGATAATAATTATTATTATACCCAATATACTTAAAACATATTACAGTGACTCGTTTTAAATGTTGATGGTTCTGTCTAAGGAGTTACCAGTGAAATGAGTGCTGGACTAAGGACCAATGTTTAAATGCCCACTCGGCCATAAAATTCACTACAACTCATAGAGTTGTTATTAAGAGAACCATATACTGTATACAAATTTGAACTCCTTAGATGAAAGAACGGGACATAAGTACCTGTAAATATAAATAGGAAGCATCACTCCCACCACCACGAACAAAATCTTATTAAAGACTGACTTTTATTTCTGTGCTGCCTTGGGAATTTCTAGGACTTCCGCTATGTGCTGACAAGTCACTTCCAACTTCTGGCCCCATGAATGAGCAATCTCCAAAATGCCCCGTCCTCAGCTGCCCTCTTGCAAACTCAGCCCTATGGCTTCCTTTAGCAGGTCAGTCCATCTCGTCTATGGTCTTCCTCTTTTCCTGCTGCTAGTCCTACAAAAACAAACTTTCTTTTGTGTGTGTCCTGTACAGATGGATCTTACAGCAGAACTACTGTGATGGGCATGGTTTGTGGGCCCTCATGGGGGTTTTGTCTGCCACTATTGGCATCTTCCAGAATGGGTTTCAACAAAGAAATGCAGTAGGTAAATGAGAGCGTCAAAGATTCTCCCCCTCCGCTCTGGTTTACCTACTCCCGGGCTACAATGTTGAGGCATTTTTGAATCCAGCCTATTGTTAGATTTTTAGTCGCACACAGAAGCAGCTCCCATGCAGCCTGTCTGATGCAGGAATACAGTATGGCTTATCACCTTTTTAAAAAGACTTCTTCCCCTTAGATATTTCACACTCTGATCCTAAATAGACATTCTAGGAGAAAACCCCTGGTGTACACAAGTAAATTTACTTGGATTTAAACAAGGAGAAGATCAAGGTGTCAAAGGACCAAATGTTCTTTGGGGAGGAGGGTGAGGCCGAGATATGTAAGAAAAATTCGGTTTTAAAGAAAAATTATTCACCGCCGGGCAGCCTGTCGGCTTGACCAGCTCCTGGTATGCCAAGCATAAGACTCAAATGTTTTGAGTCCGGGTTGCCATCTTAAAGGAGGGCGTTTGTTTCCAGGAAGGCAGGATTTCAAATTTCCCTACGGAACAGCCTGGTCATGAATGCCAGCTGATCCTGAAATCTCTCTGCAAGCCGTATCTTCTTTTTGAGGGTTCCTGTCCATCCTTCCTTAGTCGGAAACTCAGTGTGTTGTGGCCACTCAGCATCCTTGCATCCATCTTAGAGGGACGCTTGAAGGTGGATGGGGTGGATGGTCATTAAATCATGAGTCTGAAATGATCTAACAGCCCTGCCATTTTTGGATGCTTTCCATTTCTTCTAAATCCTGTAGATTCTGGTATTGTATAGTATTTATTTTCTTGGGATTGCAGGAGGTCTTTTATACACTGAAGTTGTTCTGTCTGTGGAGCTCGAGGTTGGGAGTTTGATTCCCCCCTGGGCCTCTTTGACAGAGGGCTGGACTTGATGATCTTCTAGGGTCCCTTCCAGCTTTGTAATTCTTAGACTACGATGATGATGGAGGTGATTCATTTTTGGTCTTCCAGACACACATCAACCAGGCTGGAAATGCTTAGCTTCTGAACCCAAACCAGACAAGGAGAACCGTACCGAGCCCCGGGTGTGTCGTGGTGGTGGGTCTTCTTCTTTGGACTGCAGCTCCCGGAATGATGGGTGTTGTAGTTGAAAACAAACCACCCACAGATCTCTGCCGGCTCTTGGGACATCCTGGAGCGTCTTCCCAAGCAGCGAGAGAGGCAGAAGAGCCGCGTGTGGTCCCGAAAGCCTTCCTCCTGCGAGGGGGAAACTGGCAGGGCAGGAGGGAGGCCCGCTGGACCTCCAGCCAGGGCTTCCTTCCCCCCCCCCCCGCAAGACCTGTTTGACTGGCTCGGGAGAAAGGCAGGGAGGCTCGCTCTCGATCTCGCTCTGTGTGTGTGTGTGTGTGTGTGTGTGTGTGTGTGTGTGTGTGTGTGTGTGTGTGTGTGTGTGAGAGAGAGAGAGAGAGAGAGAGAGAGAGAGAGAGAGAGAGAGAGAGAGAGAGAG